TTCCAGTGACATCATTTTTAAAGCTGGTCCAGTACAATTTTTTAATTGGATTGTCTTCATGCTGTCTGTTGGAAAAATTCATGTAGATTTGCATAACACAGTCTGTCAGTGTTAGGTTTGCAAATTGCAGTAAAAACTTTATAAGGGCCCACTGATCTGCCACCTGATATTCTTTCCACATTTTGGTACTTGCAAGTACCTGAAGTCACTCAGTAAGATAAGTATAGGTAATCGCATGGGGCCGAGTAAAATTAAGGATTAATATCACACTTGTTTTCAGAAGTTGCTGAAATTGCCCGAGTCACGCAGCAACGAGGGCAATTTCTGCAACTTCCGAAAACACAAGTGATATTAATCCTTAATTTTACGAGGAACCATGTGATTACTTGTTTATAATATAAGGGGCAAAATGTTTTCTTACTGATCTCGTGCAAAACGGGACGCCTTTGTTACAAAACAAACAGAAATTTCTTTATTTTGGCAGCCGTTGCTAAGCGATTTTCAGCCAATCATTTTCAAGCAATTTTGCCCAGGGCAATTACAAAAATTAAGAAAAAATGCCCTGTGTCTTGACCAATCACAATTCAGTAATTTTGCCCCTTATATGATAAACTGGAATATGTAACTGAAAAAAAATTACCAATTGTCATCTAACTACAGGAGTGACATGTTCCTGTTCAGGTAGTTTTCAAGGTGCCAAAATCTCAGTTCCTTTTTTCTTATGTGTAAAGCACTCTTGAAAGTAAATCTAGAACAAACTTGGAAAAATCATTCAAAATGTGTACCATGACAGTAAACAATTTTATAAATGTGTTCCGAAAAACTATAGGTGACAACCATTCAAAGTGTTTTACTATCAGGCTCACTGGCAGTGTAGGAAAACATCCCAAAAGTGATGCACTGCAAAGTTTTGTAGTCTTAAAAGTTGATTGTAAGACAAACAGTAAAAGAGGTTTATTATTTATCATTTTGTGATCTAATAACAGAATTTTGTCTGAATAGAAATGTGCCATTCAGGGTTAGGATTCGTTTAGCTCGTAAAAGGAATGAAGACGAAGACTCTGTTCACAAGCTGTACACACTTGTCACTCACGTCCCTGTGGCTTCATTCAAGGGTTAGTAGTTTGTGCTGAAACAGAACAACTCCCTCTCTTGACAGAAGTCATACCAATGTTTAGCTTATTTTGTTTGCAAAGAATTTGAAAAGGTTTTAAAAAGTGTGCAGAAAAGTTTCCCTTGTAATCATTATTGTGCAGCTCTAAAGCTGTTATGTAAAATATAGATATTAGAGGCTTAAGAAAAAGTGTTGCTGTTACTTTGATAAATTATCTTTGAACATACGTAGACTCCTAGTGGTAATTGGTTGGGATCCTTCTCCCAAACAATGTCTATGAGGTTTTCTTAGCCTTCTTCCCCATCCAATGTTTGTTGATGGCCAATGTTTCTCTGCCATCATTCAGATTAATATTGAGAGGGGCATGGGAGAGAGTAGGTGTCCCAATAAATGTCTCTGGGAGTGAAGGTGGCCAGTACTTTTAAGCTGCCAAACTTGTTTGTGTAACTGAGGAAAAATTGGAATTGACATTGGTCTAAAAGTTTTTAGTACTCTTCCATAGTTGTCAGTAGTTACTATTTCTCATCAACTCAACTCTGGAAGGAAGCGGACTGTGGTTGATGATGATGATGATGATGATGATGATGATGATGATAATAAACTGGTATTTAAACATTAACAAGTATTTTCCTTTTTTTTTGTAGGTCTGCAAACACAGAAGGTGGAAAGTGAGGATTGAGCCTCTGTACAGAAATAAACTTGTCAATTCAATAAAGATCTCATAACTTTGTCTCTGACTTTTAGTATTTCTGATTTGCAGTTGGTATTCAAAACATGTTTGCCTCTTCTTGCCAGGTTGATGCCATGATCCTCCTGAAATCATGTAAATTATTTTTGCTTATTTGAGAAGATCAAGTCTGATTTTAGCTGAGATTTTCTTTTGAACTGTTCATTGTTTACAGATCAAACTTTAGTAGAGTTGCATTCATTTCTTGTGAAAGAATTGGATGAAGGGAGGTGACATCCTCTTTAACAGAACCATAACTAACTTGAAAATCAATATCAGCTTGATTCACAAATCACAAAATTCAAGTTAGTGCCAAGATAAATGAGGTCACTTTCCTACTTAATCAATCCCTGCCATTGCAACATGTGAAGCATGTTATGACAGTGGACAGTTAAAATGAGAAATGAAAAAAGAGCAAAAGTTAACAATACTTTTTCATCAAAACTACATTTAAATCATTCTAGAGGATTTAGAATGAAATCCTAGGAAAGAGAGCTCCTTGTAACCACTGAGCCATCCATTTTTACCACATACTTATCAGAGTGAGCACCACATAACAGCTTAAACAAGCCACTGCCTGTTTCATTGTCAAGAAAACAGTACACAAAACTGCAAGTTGACCCACCCTTAAAAAGTGATAAATTCACACGAATGACTCTACTCAACTTGTGCACTGTTGACTTTAGTGCTGCGTTTAATCATCAACAGCAACTACAAAGCTTTGATAAGTGTTTTCAATCATTCAGATCCCAACAACACAACTTTTAGTTTGCCCTCTCCACTTTTTAAGCTTGGGAGGAAAGACACCAGTTTACAAATTGAGAGATTTAAGGCAATTTAATTTTTTTTTCTTTCTTGCTGGTGGGAAATATTTTATTCCATATTAAACGGAATTTGGGGAACCATGTGCTGGATTATGTTAAAAATAACAAAAATACATGCCTTAACTTTAAACTAGTCATTGTTTAAAAGTTACTTTCAGTTTTCATGCACATGACTTTTTGATGATGAAGACTTCTACTTACATCATTAGTGAGGATGGTTCATATTGAGGCGATACTACTCTTTCACTGGTCATCGGAAAACAATATGAACTATTACCACTGGGTTCAAACCATTTACCAAAAAAAGAAAAGTTCACACAGAAAACTGAAAGGGTCAGTTTTTTAAACAAGGGTTAGCCTTTGTTTGACAAAACTACTTCCTTAACAATTCTTAATTGTGCTTACCTTTTATCTGAACACTGACTTGAAGGGGAACTGAACCCTAAAAATTAACCATTTTTTTAAACTGCAGCTTATAGTTCAAATAGCAATGTTCGAGGGTTCTTTTCAGTCTTTGTGCCCAACTTTGCCTCAGATAAATAGTTTAAAGTGGTATTTTGGCCTCGTAGTACAATGGCTCAGAGAAGCAATGTCAGCGGTCATTTTAGCTCACTCTTACGTCACTGGTGGGGAAGAAAGATAATAAACCCGTACTCTTTCTACAGAAATTTGGTTTGGTTATGGAGTTTTCCAAGTTGCGTGACCTGTAATGGGGATTAACTACGAAAATGAAATAATAACAGTTGTTTTTCTAAGTTGGTTCCCCACCACTGACATCATAAACGACTGCTGCTGACCTATTTTGAGTCAACGGTCTTACAGCCCCAAAAGTGGGAAAAAGGCAACTTCAAATCGAATTTTCTCGTGAAAAACAAGTGAATGAAAATGAATATCGACACTTTATCTTACTCCTCTAAAGCTAACTAGAAATGAATGCAAACAATATATCAATTTTAGGCTTCAGTTCCCCTTTAAGTGAACAGTGTCAAAAGGGTCAAAAGCTAACTGTGGAAGGACATTTAAATCAAATTAAGTCAACCCTCTAAAGCCTACTGTTTGCATAAACCCTGGTTTTGGTGAGACCTTGAGTAAATAACCTGCCCAAAGTGTTTTCTTTGGTGTAAAATAATGCCGCAATACTCCTAAATTAATGATTGTAACTAAAAAAATATTAAAGAATGCTTCTCATCTGTTCTGACTGACTAGTGTAATAATTAACTTTGTTTTAAATAATATTGCCATTCGCATGATTTCATACATGCATGTAAAATAGTATGAATGATATGTTCATTTTAACGATGAAAGTCAAGGCTACAATTTCCAGAGTTGTAGGAATAAAGCTTGGTATAAACTAGCTTGTTCTTATTCTGCCCTTAATCATGAGATGAATATAATCATAGATATCCCTTGAGGATAAAATGAAAATGGTGTTTGTCCAATTTAAAACTAAAAAAAAGTTATTGGTATAATTTCATGAAAAGACTAGCCGTGACTCATTGGTATTCCTGAGAGGACAGAGGCACTGTACATGCACAATTCTATCGTGCTGCCTCCCTCCATCTACGATTGTTCTTAGGGTCAGTACTTGCCAATCACTTCTGAACCAGCCAATCAGTGTATGCCAATCACTTCTGAACCAGCCAATCAGTGTATGCAAATGCACCATTTGCCTGTGTGACATATACTAATAATTATAGCTATAATATCAATATTACCATCAATACTGCAGTAAGCATTGCATTATGGCTTGGACTAATGACAATTATTACAATATTTTTTTAATTCTTTTTTTTTTTTTTTTTAGGATAAATCTATTCACTTAGACATGCACTCCGAGTCTTAACCCTTCTTCTCCCAAAGATTGATCACTAAATAATTTCTCTGCAGAAAGTTCCTTCATTTTTAAGCAGACAGGTAATCCAAAAAAAAGAAAAATTTCCATCACAAGATGCTACCACGTTCTCAAAGCAAAAATTATTAGAAAGGTATGGTAGACAGGATGGAGAATTAATATGTAGTTCTTTGGAGTAAAAGGGTTACATGCCAAAGTTTTACAAAAGATGATCACGTTCACAGCTCGTCACACACACTGGTCCATGAAGTGTGACAGATTTCTATATAATTTTCATTCATAAAAGTGAATGTATAGGGTTGATACTTGTATACCGTAGGTCCATCTGTTTAATTCAGTTAAATCATTTTTGTTTTACTCTTCAATAAAAAATGCTGTTAATGCAAATATCAAAAAGACAATCCCACCAATAATTGTAACTGAAAGACAAAATAATAAAAATTATGTGTCAATACTTTATGACACTAACTGTAACATAAATAGTTTTATCTGCTTTTCAGGTCTTTGCTCTCTAAGATGGTGTTTTTTCAACAAGGAGATATAAAGGAACATCTTCGTTTCACCCCAACAGTGGTGTCTGAGCCAAAGACTTATGTAGCTGAAAAAACTGGTAAGAGGTGATCATTTACATTTATAATGTCAAAATCTTACAGAGAATTTGCCATTTATCCACCCTGCAGCTATACAACAGAGCAGTCAATCTGTGACAGTTAAACAGAAGAATTCACCTTCTGAATATAAGTTTTCTTAAACATAAGAATATGGTTTAACTATTGTTGAAAAAAAAAAAGGAATGTTTAAGGCACCTGTTCTGACAGATATTCTTTGAGCAATTAGTCTTCCCCCAATCACAGCCAGCCCAGTGCACAGGGCGTGTCCTAATGTTCCACCTATCGTCACACCAACTACATTCTGAGGGTGAGATGTTTTAAAAAATTCAGTTTAAATCATCAATTTGAAAGTAAAGATTGTATATGTAGATATGCATTCTTTTATGCCATTAATGATTCTCAATGAAAGGAATCTAACAAATCAACAGTGGTTAAGGGTGTTCTGTAATCTTCTCATCAATGATAATTGTCACCACAGTGGTCAAAATGTTCTGGACTCAGGTGATTCTTTCAGTGCATGACCATTGAGTGACACAGTTACACAAGCAGCTTTGTCTGTACTCTTATCACCAACAGCAAATTGGCCTATCAGATCGTGACATTATAGCTGGTTGTGGTAAAATAATATACTGGTATCTATACCTCTCTTGATGCCAGGAGTATAGTTGCCAGTTGAGACCTGTCACCCCATTCAGCAAGGAATGTTAGAGTGAATGCCTGTAGTAATATAGGTGAAAAAAGACCAAAAAACTTTGCAGGCTTTTTCCCTCCTCTTATTATACCAGTTTCTACATCTTGAGTGATGGTAGATGAGTCATCCTTCTCCATCTAAACAAAAGTACACCATAAATTTACTGAGGGATAAGGAAAAGATAGCTTTAGTATGCAGGTATATAATGCAATCAGAAACCAAAAAGATGACCTAAGGAAAAAAAATTAAATTTGCTAAAAATTAAAAAAAGCCAACCACAACGATCTAAGTTGAAGTGAAATGTTATGGATTAAGGAGTAGACTGGTAAGCAAGTAAAAAAGGCCAAAAACCCCTTTATCTTAATTTATAATAAATGAAAACCAACTTTTCAAAAAGGAAAAAATGAAAAAATACATATTGGAGACCAAAACTGAAAATGCAAAAATTGTAAACACAAAAAGTGAAAACACCTATCACAAATGAGATTGAAAGTAGAAAACTGAAAAAACAAATTCCCCAATATTTATACAAAATACATTAACTCATTATAATGTATTAAGAGGGTAAGTTTCTAAAGAAACTGTGATGCTACGTCAGCAGGAGTATTACAAGATGATTTGGTTCTAATGACTGAGTTATAACTTAGCCACTATAAGGAGTTTCTAATGCTGACGTTCTGAGTGGAGGCTTTTCAAGCAACACTTCCCCCACCTGTATTCATATTATGTGCCCAGCCCCAACAACTGCTACAAAAGGAGATATAGAAAATGAAACATTATGTAATACTGTTTCTTGGCAGACCTCAGCTTCCTTCTTTTTAAGTTCTGCTTGTACTTCTTCTAACTCCTCCTGTCCCTCATTAGGATCCATATCGTAACCTTCTTTTAACATTTTTAGACCAAAAAATACAAACAGTGCTGTTGATATGTACAGTGTGTATTTTCTTGGAATGACGGTTGTTGCATATCCCAAAACTGCTGAGAGAATTGTCATTAAACCAAGGGCAAGCATAGCTCCTGTGAATACAACAAGCCTTGGATGTCTCATTGACATAATGGCAGCAATGAAAAATGTCTTGTCGCCAAGTTCCGAAACAATGATCACAGATAGAGCAGCTACGAAGGCATGGATGAATTCAAGACTAGAAACACTCCATGAACCACCAGAGGCAGATGGCTGCTTTGACAAGGAGCCTTGGAAAATGCCATTCTGGAAGAGAAAAAAATAGCTCTGTGTTACTGGACATTTATTGCCAATACTCAATGAGTCTGGATTGATAATTATTGTTTTAGTATAACTATTCAGGTAATTAGGGGAACAACTGCATCTTCCTTCATTTTCCCAATCAGAAATACCGGTACCAACAAGTTGTGGAGTGATACTATTATTGGATACAGTGTAATCAGGATTGCATTTCTTCTATTTTTAATTATAACATGTGCTGTGACGGAGTCAAATTTTTAAATTTTTTTGCATAGACCCATTTCAGGTCAATGCAAATGAAGAAAAACTGGAGGACAGAGAAATAATAAGAGGTTATTGTTATATCTGTTTGGGAATTTATTTATTTTCTTCAGTCTGCACTTTCACTGGCCACAACCCTCCACAAGTTTGGTTGAACCAAACTGCTTACCACTCAAATTTGCAACAGTTCTTATCACATGGTCCAATATCATTTGTATCAACATCGACAGGTGGAAAATGGAAAACTACTTCAGTCAGAAATGGTATCGAGGATGTGGGTTATATTTCCACTGTGTTTACATTTTATGAATTGCCCAAGTGGTCCTGCAATCATGTGACACAAGGAAACCTTTTATTATATAATACTACTCTTCCTTGGCGTTACAGTTATTGATAAATTTGTGGCGTTTATCCCATAAACTAGTAAAGTTAAAACTATGACGAATTGCTATCACGAGCTCCATTGACCACAAGCCAGATCAACCGCACATATGCGATACTATATATGTTAACAGGCGTAACTAATAAATGTTTTTAAAATACCCGAGTAGCCATTTTGTTCAGTAAAAAGCCACTCGCGATCACACTTAAAATACTTTCTTACCACTTCATCCTCAACAGGCTGTACAAAGGATACAGAATCGGTACCTTTTGGCTTTTCATTGGGACCATTTCCCTGGACTTCTGATGAAGCCATTAAGACACGACCCGCAAGACCTTCAAGTTCATCGGGAACTGCAGCACACGCTATTGTTACACGACACATTAAAACAACTCCAATGATTAGAAACAAACTTAGACGTCCTTTAAAATAAGTCCCCATGTTGAATTAGTCACCAGAGTAACAGTTTAAACCATTTGCTTTCGTTAACCTGTGTTTATAAAATATGAATTTTTGAGAATTTCTCCGGTATTCTTCGGAGCGCTTGAAGGGGTCAGCGGTCATGTTATGTAACTTATGCGTAAAGACCAGGCAAGAGAGAGAGAGGGAGGGGTGGTTGAGTTAATGTATTCGTTCCAATTCTTCTGCGATTTGACCCATCTATATAATCCCGCGCTTGCGCGAACGTTATTGATAGAAAACTGACTTACAGAGCAAAGTTTTTTGTGGTCATATTTATTAAGCTATTCGACCAGCTACCTTATTACAGAAAATAAACTAGCCACAAGCGACAACTCTTCATCTTCGCAGAAATAGTTTTCTGTGGCTATTCGTATTTACAGGCTAGGTGAATTATGTGCCCTAGAAACAGACTCCGTTTTCTGCAGCAAACCGCTCATTCCCACAATACCTCCTATTACAATGATAACATCTTCGCGGAAGTGCGTCATACGACATTGCCAAGTAGCTTAAGGACCCTGATCAGGAAACAGGTGATCCAATTTATAACGGTTGATATTCGCAACTCTAATTGCCAGCGTTCCTTTTCCTTTTTTTCTCTTTATTTTAAAAGAATGACAGAAACAAAAGCGTACAGTGAATTATAACCAAGCTGGTAGACTAGCCTTTCTTGTCAGAGTTCTACTCATGGGCGAATAGAATAAAGTGACTCTCGACAAAAATTTGCGCACGTCTTCGGCTTCTGCGACATCAACAGGCATTTGTTTATTGCCGTCCAAGGCGCGCACATCAGCTTCGCAACGTAACAAATACTTGACAATGTCAAGGTACCCTTCACTGGCTGCGTAGTGTAAAGGAGTCCATCCCTGTCCGTCTCTTTTGTTCACATCCGCTCCTAGTTCTATCAAAGCTTTTACACTCCTGAAATTACCATCAAGAACACACTGTGTAAGCGCGGTCATCCCAGATGCAGTAACAGCGTCCAATTCGACGACTTTTCCAGTTCGACGCAGGAAGTCAATGACTTTCTTTCCCTCTGTAAACTCCGAATCTAAAGAGTCCTTATTGCAAGCGATTTGGAACATCAAATCGAAAGGTTGTGGACACGATCTCACTCTGTGAACCGCTACTTTACCTTTTGGTTTCTGAGCCGTTGAGTTTGTATCCATGTCTGTTCTGCTATTTATCTTATTGAAGTGCTGCTCAGATGGTTGATTTATTTTAACCTGTGCTTTCGATGCCGTTAATCTTCGAATAAATGGGTAAACTTGTTTGTGCAATGAAATTAGAACGAAACTGACAAATGCTGTCAATCCGACCAGCTAACGACCTCTTTATCACTAAAGTCAAATCCGCATCACGCAATTGAAATCATCTATGATCAATTTAGAATATTCCGCATTTGTTACTACTTATCTAGTATCGGCACAAGTGGTATGCGGTTACTGTTGCATTACAGAAATCTTTGACGATTCATACGTTAAACAGGTTAACAGTTTCACGCTGAGACATTTTGGGTTGAGAAAACAGCTAAAATTGATGTAATGTTTACGTTTGTTTATAACAATTGAGTGTTGTGCCGCTAAAGTGACCTGAAAGTAAATTTAACTCTGATTTTAATGGTCTCAGTTGATCATAAGCTGATCTGAAAACATAAGATAAGGATGGACGATCATTTTCCCGCAAAAACAAAACTTCCCTTTCAGCTCACAGGAAAGAGGAACTGTCTGCTTGTGAAACTTTTTCTGGTGGTTTTTCCACTGATGTCTGATATCTTATTTTAATTTCATTGCTATATCAGCAAATTGGTTTAAATTTTCAAATCAATGTGAGACAAATCGATGAAATTAGATATAAGATCAGCACTGAATATGGAGAAAGTTCTCTTTACCAGTGCTGGAAATCTCAGGTTCGTTTCTATCACTTTAAATCGGACTTGTGCACGTCGAAACAATTTACCCACGAGCTAGTACCAAACTAAACAGCTTTCAGACTTCACAACCAATTAAAGATACCTTCCTTGATATCGGGTTGCTTTTATGTCAACTGGTACAGTATCTGCACTCTATGGAAATTAGCCTTGTCTAAACACAGACGGTGTTTTTATAGACATTCATTAGTACATTGTCAGAAAATGTTTATGTTGCAAAAACAAACGGCAAACCGTCGGCAAGTGAATTCAACCATTTAATTAATGGCTTTGGGCGTTTGTACTCTTCAGAGTAAATTTTTTAACCACTGCCATTTCTTAACAAGATAGATACTAGAAGAGAAGAGTAACTGGTCAGTTTTGTACTCATTACGGACCTACTAAGGAGGGGATCGAAATGTTTCGGCTGTTGCAGAAGCGCTGCCGATAACTAAACCAATCGAGCAAGGATGTTCTATTCACGGCCTCCATGACTTCGCAGTAGCAACGGAAGTTCCAAAAAATTCGCTAAATATAATTTAACCGCGTGGCTGAATCTCATCTCAAAGACACTGGCTCTAAGTGGCTCGCGGATTCCGTGCAGGCCGGCAACGTCACATTCAGTGACGGAAGTCTAAATGACATATGGTAAAATTTAAGTGCCTTCGCTTTATCCAAAATTCCCAAGTATTGATAATTGCTTTTTTTACTGTCGTAGTGCAGTAGGCCAGTATCAAAAAGTAACACGGGCATTAAGTTAGATACGGTTACTTTAATTAGTCTTTGTTATCTCGTTGTTTAGGTATGGAAACATAAATCAAAAATTGAAATAATGGGCTTTTTATCAAATACAGAAAAAGTTTGACTCAGACGAACTGTCTCACTTTCTTACCATGACAAACGTATTTAAAAGTTTCTGTCATTATCAGAAAGCGGGTTATCGTCATTGGGGACCGCTCAAACTCCCTATGTCATCCGACCAGATTTCCTTTTTGGGTGGGATGGGATATCAAATGCGTAGAATAAATGGGAAGTACGCCACATCACGTACATCCGCGATGCAGCACGGAGGGACCGTGAGTGACGTTCCCTTTGTGAACTTAGCCTCGTTTTCATCTAATTCGTCCTCGTCTGCAGGAGAACCATGTCAAGATGGACCCTGGGAACGAGATTTGCTGTCCCTCCAAAATGGTGACGTCATTCGGATATGCTTGAGTGACTCCTAGCAAATGTCTGCCGATGGCGGGAACCGTTTAGCAAACTGAAAATATAGCGATTTAGTCCGGGGAAAATTCCCTGGAATTATGCAAAATGTGATTTCAAAACCAAGGTTGATGCTTAAGCGATACACTTGCAAGATTTGGTATGCATTCGACCGCGAAAAAGGACAGAAAGAACGCCGACATTGTCGATGGTAAGACCTCGCCTCCATTTGTCGTTTCGACCATTTGTTTTGTAATTTATGCAGGGATGTGGGATCTTTTTGGCCGCCGTTAAAGGCGGGATATTGAACGATTTGTTCTCCTCTTATTCCTGTTCTATAACTGCAGAGATCTAACCTTATATTCGGCAGATTTTTGCTCTATTTTGAATTAATCTAATAATAGTCTTAGCACACAATGGCTCTCCTCTGTTAGCAATGCTTTGGCGCCCTTCAATTCGTGACTAAACCGCTAGATATATTCATCTCCCCGTAGATCTATTTTGTTTTTCGTCATTACTTATCAGGTGGAAGGACTTCCTTCAGAAGAAATCTAAACGTGATGGTTTTAAAATACGCATTACAAAACGTCGATCGGTGCAACATGCTACGGTGGCTGAGCACACCACATGGTTTTGCATGTTTTGGTATTGTTTGTTATCGGGTTTCAAACCATGTGATTTAACTCGGAAGCGAATGTATTATTTATGAGATTTAGTTTTTGCTCAAAAAATTTCCCAATAGCACAGTAGTGGTTCTAAGCAAGCCTCGTGGGTTTATTTTGTGGGTAGATAAACTCAATTTTCTGCTTTTAGTAATGTACAATTGTGACAAAGCCTCATAACTTCATTTCGTGTATTGAATATTATGTACTTGCGTAATTTCCTGGAGCCATTAAATACACGAATTACAGCTGATAATGCAGCAATATTTTCAATTAGATGAGTATGTATAGGTTGCATTTAGTCGGTATGACACTCTGTAATAAATTCTCCTCTTTTAATTCCATGACAGCCATAACAATCCAAGTGCATGCATGTTGTTTGAATTAGCATAAAATGTTCTGATTTTAACTTCAGTTTCGCTTGCTGCGTTGCCGCCAGAAAAAAACTGCCCCCAGCGGTGTTCAAATTTTCTTGAAGCGTATTCTTAAAATTTTAATATTTTCAAAATAATTTGTGTTTGGGGATTTTGCAGCTTTCCTTCACCAGCGGTGTGTGATTTGTTCTCCTTTGATGATATCATGCAAAAATATATGCTTGTCTCTGTAGAGTGACCTCATGTGGTTTAGTTATGTACAGGGGATTCGATGTTGTGATCTCGAAACTGCTACTATCAGGAGATTTCTTCAACCTCTTGTAATAAAATCATACGGAAATGTCACATTCAATTGATTTGAGGTGCTGGATTTGAAGCAAGGGATACCTCGGCTGGTTATGTGGTTTGGTCTTCTATAGCTTTCTGTGTAATGCCAAAATTCTTCAATATACTCTTGTCTCTGTAGGGTGACCTCTTGTAGGTTAGTTATTTACAGGGGGTGAGATATTGTGATCTCAAAACTGCTACTATCAGGAGATTTTTTCAACCTCTGGTAATAAAATCATACATAAGTGTCACATCCAATTGATTTGAGGTGCTGGATTTCAAGCAAGAGATACCTCTGCTGGTTATGTTTTTTGGTCTTCTACAGCTTTGTGTGTAAAGCTAAATTCTCTGCAACAGAATTGTTAAAATTTGAATGTTATTTACTCTATTTGTGGTGAATAATTAACACAGACCAAAACAGAAGTATCATTGCTTTGTTGTGTTTTCTCCATTTTCTTAATGGGCACTGGGCATGATAAACTGAATTATCGTATTATAAAGCAATTTGAGCAGTGTTTCAAAGTTTGTGTCTTTTATTCCCAATAGACAATGAAGTGGATGTTGAGAAGGTCAAAGCAAGTAAGAAAGCCAAGCAAGGAGAAATAAAAGGGTAATTTCTCAGGGGAAAAAAAAAAAAACTCTAAGGGCTGGTTATTTCAACAAAGTTTAGCTATTGTATAACAAAACCAAGTTCTAAATTTTTTTTTTTTTAATTTATCGATTTATTACAGATTCCAACAATTAAGAAGCTCTTCTTCTGTAACAATACTAATCTAATCTAAGTATATGTAGTAACTAATTAAAAGTATGATAACAATAATAAAATTAATCAATCAAGCCAAACTTAACTGAACCTCTTATCTGAACTTTCATTTTTGTGAACTGTGTCAAAACAGCGGAGAGCTAATGGTGGAAGAACATTTATTCAATTAAAGTAACCTTCATAAAGAAGAATCCCTTACGCCTACTGCTTGCATAGAACCAAAGTTTGGGTTATATCTTATGTGAGTAACCAGCCTTAAACCTTAAGTATTTGGTGCATTGTGGAACAACAATAGTTTGCCAAGAGGGAAGACTTGTGCAACATGTCAGTCCAGTTATTGGTAGAATCCTCATTAAACAAATCAATTGAATAATTTTTTCCTTTTTATACAGTTTGCTGAGTTCAGTGATTGCTGATGAGATTAAAGGTGAGTTGTACATTTGCAACTAAAATTCACTTCAAAGAAGCAATGTTCCTGATTGTGTACCTTGGAAAGCTTGGCTGAAAGTTTTGATGTTGGTTAAGTGCATGAAGAATCAAACCTCTATTTTGTGGTCACAATCTGGAAAGAAGCAGAGATATGTAGGGAATGACTATGTATTTTTGTGCGTTTGTTATTCAACCCTTAGTTAAATTATTTTGATTTAAACAGCTACATCCTTTCAGTAGGATTTCTTATACTTACTTTAATTTGAATGTACCATTAGGGTGTTCTCGTCCTCCTTCTCCTGCCAGCTTTTCACTGGAGGGTCGTAAGCCTGCAGAGGTGAGTGTGTAACATCCAGTTTAACTTGGCTCTACAAGAAATTATTCTACTGTTGTTTACGGTAATAGGATCATTAAAGTACAATCGCTTCCTGGTTAGCTCAATTGGTAGAGCACCGGACTGTTGTGTGGGAGGTCGAGGGTTCAAGCCCCAGCCGGACCAACACTCAGGGTCTTAAAATAACTGAGGAGAATGTGCTACCTTTCTATAACATCAAGAAATGGATAGATATTCTAGTCTTCTCGGATAAGGATAAATAAACCGTAGGCCCCGTCTCCTGCAGGGCTAGGGGTAAGAGATGTTAATTTCCCACGCACGAGATAAATGTGCCTGCAGTAATTGGCGCAAGCTGTTGCAGTGTCCCTGCCTGTTGGTGAATCTAATAAATTAAAATGAAATTAAATTAAAATTTAATTTAATTTAATTAATTAAAATTGAAGGTGATTAACAAAATCAGAAGATTTGCAAAGTGGGAGTCTGCTTTTTGTTATGATTTGTCAAATTTAAGAAGGAAACTCACTTAATTGTGACCACATCAAACTGTACTAAATAGTTTAAAAGTGAAACATGTTCCCTAAAAGTCTTATGTTATAATTATACTATGTGTTGTTGTAGATTTTTCGCACTGATCTGATAAGTGCAATGAAACTGCCAGATCATCAGAATTTAAGTCCAGAGAACTACATAACCATATCAGATCAATGGAGACAAGAATGGGAAAGAGGTGTACAGGTAATCAATATTTATTCAAAATCTATGCTATCTACATGTCTGTGTTTTATTTGGATAACCTGGTAGAATTAATTCTTGTTTCCTTTAACTCTGTGTGAAAGCATGCTTCCAATTCTATTTCATTTATTTATTTGTTTTTGTTCTTTTTGAAAATCACCAAATGCTTTTATGTTTCTATTCAGGTTCCTGTTTATCCAGAAGGGGTTTTTCAGCCGTCCTTCAGGTATGTTCCTTATTATTCATATTCATATGGGTTAGTTTGGTTGTTGAAAATTATTGGATTTCATCCAGAAAAATAGGGAACTGTTTCTCGTAGGATGGTTTTGAATTGGCATTCTTCTATTTTATCTTACAGAATGATGGAAACTCCACATAAGAGAGCCGGAAATTTCAAACTGTATGTGGTGTTGAATATTTTTAGCTAATTCATTGCTACAATAAACGTACAGCGATAATCAAAGTTGAAAGAGCCTTGTCATTCTTTAATTCTGCTAGCAAATATTGCTGGCTCTAATTGTTGATAAAGAAGGATTTGTTCAGGTAGTACTTGCTTTTTTGTATGTAGTACACTTAAACTTTTACACCCCATCATCAGTATGTATATTCTTCATACTTTTTTTTCTTTGAACTTCCTTTGGTATTGACAAGGAGAACTTGTGTAGCAATCAGGAGCTTCTATGGTTGGCAATTATTTCTTTTTTTCTTGTGGCAAAAATGTGTGATTTCATTAGTGATGGTGCTGATGGCAATGCTGGGGGTTAATATGTACTATAGCTCAAATCTGACATGTCTTTTTTTTTGTTGTTGTTGTTTTTAAAGGCCAGGGAAATTGCTTTCAACTCCAAGCAAAACAAGAGGCAGACCACCAGGGTCAAGGTGTCCTTATGATCTGGGAAGAATGGATGTAGAATGGTTAATAACTTTAAATAGATCTCGGCGGAACAAAGGATTAATGGAACTAGAGGAGTCAACCATGGAAAAGGCTTTGGCATACATCGAGAACAAGGTAATATTTTGGACAGAAAATTGTAAATTGTACAATAGTAAATTGAGAAAATCTTTATGAACTGAAATGATGTAGTATTTTAAGTTTCATAGGAAAGATTCAGTTTTAAGATTGAAATTAAGGTAGAAAATTGTGCTGATTTATTTTACTTATCAGGGTAGCCAGGAAGGATGTGACATTGAATTTTGATTTCATTGTAGTGTTATGACAACATGGGGCATGCTATAGCCACTCAAGAAGGACTTAGTATAGAGTATGATGAGGATGTCTGCTGTGATATCTGCCAGTCTGTAAGTATCATCCCATTGTGTACAAAGTTTAATAAATAAAGATGACGGTAACAGCCAATCAAAGAAGATATTTGTTTATCAAATGATGTGAGGAAGAGCTTCATCACTTCCCTGTGCTCCTTATGGAATTGCGTCTGCATATTAATTTGAGTAAATATCCTGCCTGAACTTTTTAAAGGTGAAGTAAAGGATTCATTTACAAGATGTTTAAGCATAATAGATGTTTAAAATCTTTGGTCTTGTTAGTGTCATTAATTTAAACTCCAGAGGAGAATCATATTGAGGATGAATATCCCCACAGCAAGCAGGTGCTGAGACTAGGCAACCTTAGCTTACTAGCTCACGGGTTTATCATGATATAAAAAATTCAACAGCTAACTGTACAATTGCAACCAGAAGGAAGAATTTCTGATAATATTACTAATTAGTTGGTTGATTTTTAATTTACAGCCTGATAGCGAGGAATTAAATGAGATGGTGTTTTGTGATTCTTGTGACATCTGTGTTCATCAAGCTTGTTATGGAATTCACAAGATACCCGCTGGCAGCTGGCTTTGTCATCCCTGCCTCAAGGGTTTCAACAACTGCCACTGTATATTCTGCTCTCTTTCTGGTGGTGCAATGAAAAGAACCAAGTAAGCTGTCAGTGGTAGTATTATTATTTATGTCTCAGAAGCATAATACTATTGTCAGATATTTGCATTTTTTGTCTTTCTGCTTGTAGTGGTAGGACAGGCAATGATGTGTCATTACTTAAACTTTTTCTTCTCATTTCAATGTTTAAAAGATTATTTAGCAGACAGATTACGATAAAAAACATCTACTTATTAGTCAGGGGTGTAATCTTGGAATTCTCCCCACTTATTTACTCGTGACTTTATGGCAGCAAGGAAACAGAATTTTGGATCAGATTTATGTTGTCAAAGAATAAATCTCATCCTTTTGCAATCATTTTTCACTAGAAGAAAGACTCTTTATTTGAATGAGAAATGAATAAAAGCAATGCAAACAGTAAATACATTATAGATTAATGCAAAGTTGGGAATCCTACGGTCTGTTAACCGGTGGTATTTTAATTTTATTCATATGAATTTTGATCACTTAAAAAAAACGTACAATGACTTTGGCTTTACTTACCTCCCTCTCCAGGAATAACAAAGGCTGGGCACATGTCAGTTGTGCTTTGTGGATTCCTGAGGTTGGGTTTGGAAATGTTTCCAAAATGGAACCAATCAACAGAATAGAAAACATTCCGGTGGGTTCTGTTGAAATCTCTGGTAAACACATTATTTTTGTCACATTTGCAATATACTTTGTTTCAACTGATCTCTTCATTTATAGGCCAGCAGATGGAATCTAGTGTGTTCATTGTGACGTGATAAGGTTGGAGCTTGTATTCAGTGCACAGTAAGTGTGCTTCTCATAATAACAAACAGTTTGACATTGTACATTTTCAGGATTCTGCTTAAATTTGTCAGCAATATGAACCAAACATGATTCCTTGGTGCTCACAGGATATGCGATCAATCATATTTTTCTTTGGTTTGAAATGAGTTTGATTCTCTCAAGTTTTTGGTAAATTTTTTCCTCGGGGTTAGATGAGAGAACAGAGTCTCAGAGATTAGAGGGTTACTGGTAGCCTTTTTGAATTACAGCGTGCTCTCTTAGTAAGAATAAATGGATACCTGAAGGTTGTAGTCTCTGAAAACTGGGTTTCTCAGCTCAAAAACATTTTCGTGAAGAGAAAGTTAAACGGGTCACCCAAAGGCAAAAGTTAGTCAGCCGTTGCTCCCAGACTTTTCTGGAACACAGCTTTGCTTTCATAACAGAAACAGTAGGCTTTAAGCTTGGTCTCCTCAACCTAATAACGTGTATATTTCTGTTCCTGTATCTCGCATTCTACAAGAGATGTAAACTTGTTTATCGGCTAAGTTGTGTGTGTTTCTTTTTATTTTACGTTGTTTTAGGTTAAAACTTGTGTGACAGCTTTTCATGTAACATGTGGGTTTAAGCATGGTTTAGAAATGAGGACTGTTTTGGATGACACTGCCACAGATGGTGTCAGGCACATTGTGAGTATCCTTGGATTTGTTGTTAGAAAATCCCACATGATTGGGAATTTCACTGTTTTCGTGCTAGCTGTTTAGTAGTCAAAAGTCATAGGTACTTGATTGTTTGGGATATCTGCCCACCATTCAAGGGAATATCCGAATTGACACCACATAGATTTCTGCAATGTTTGTTAGTCTTTATGAGTGCATGTTTTCATGTGGTTGGTTAGAGAAAAGATGGTCATTTCCTTTATTCTCGTGACCTTTGTTTATTTCAGGGGTGATATCGTAAGGAAGAATTAGATGCCAGTCACTCTTTAGGGTGAAAAGGTTGTTAATTAAAATCAAAGTGTGTTCTTTTGCAGAGTTACTGTACCAAACATAGCCACAAAAGCAAGTCACCAAACAAGAAAACTAGGGACGAGGACACGGGAACTTCCTCTTCCTCAGAGGATGCCGAAAATTTGAGACAGAAGAGGTAATCTGTAAAGAAAACTCAACAATGATAATGTTATTTTGTAGCATATTAGTTTAAAACTGACAGATATATCATGATCGACGATATCAGGAAGTGAACTCACTGGACTGACAAATGTGTAAATACCTGAAAGACGTTTACAAGTTTTGAATAAAAGAAGGAATTTTGATTAATTTTCGTTGTCAACTTTGTTCAGACTAAAGCAGATGGAGGAGGAGTTTTACAAGTTTGTTACTGCGGCCGAGATTTCTAAAGACCTCAACCTTCCCAAAGAATTGGCTACTAAGATACATAAGTATTGGGCACTCAAGAGAAAGGTATTATTTTTTTTCAAAAGGTTATTTTCTGAAATGCTCTAGTTTAGTAATTATACTCGTATATAACACACTTTATTGGTTTATCAGGCACAAGATGATGTTCCCCTACTGCCACCCACTCTCCAACAGCAGGAAAAACTCTCAGGGAAACAGGTAAGAAATAAGGAAAGACAATCAAGATTTTTTAAATTTCTTTTGGTGAATAATCTTGCTGTTGGCTTTCTTCAAGAGGTTTAACCTCCTCAGTCGCAGGCCTTAATTTTTATTGCTGTGGGACGAGTGTTTCTACACCCGCCGCTGTAAAGTTAAGACCTTGAGCAAAACGAGTTGGCGTTTGGTATGCAAGGAATTCGGCACCAGTAATCGGTGCCAGTCAAGGCCACAGAAGTTGAAATCGTTGTTGTGATTATTTAATTTATCCACATCACTTAGCGTCCATTGTGTCAAGGGAACTTCGGAGCTCCGTGTAAAAATCAAGCACCTTCTTCATTGCTTTTTTTACTTTCAGGGTGCTGTTAATTCCTCCACCAATCTCCAGGCACAGTTAGAAAGAATTCTGAAATTACGGTGCAACCTCGAGAAGGTGAGAACATCGAATTCATTAGCACGTCTTGACTCAACTTGATTAGTGTAAAATATTCTCGATCAAATACGCGCCCTAAAGTATGCGGTTGGTGTGTTTTAGCCTCAGAACTTTCCAAGTCAGTTTGTTCCGCGTCGAAAACTTCCTTTGAGAATTGCAACGGCACGTGAGTAAGTTAGACGGTGCGGCTATGTAGGACAGCATTCCATTTACTTTGTCGATGTTGAATAGTATAATGACACACCTTTATATGAATTTACATTGGAGCTCGGTTTTGTGAAAACTCCCAGAAACGTATTTGAGGCGCAATATCGGAATGTTTGAGATGTCGAGGATCAAAGATTCTCCGGGAACGGATTAAGGGTTGCAAAGAATACAGGTCTCTGCTGACTACTGGTAAGACTCCCACATTCTTCATCCTTACTCTCTTTTACTCCCTTCCGACAAGGACAATTAGATTGTGCAACAAAAATCACATTGTGCTTTAATTCGTTTCAATTGCAGTACCTACAGTGCTTTCATTTTACTATCTCTTTGCGCATCAATCTCGCACCTTTTCTTTTCCAGCTGCGCAACTTGTGTTACATGGTGACCAAGCGGGAGAAGATGCGGCGCGAGTTGTACCGCGCTCGGGAGGAAGTATTCTGGCAGGAGCATGTCGTGCTGACAGACGACTCCTCTGACCTGGATGACAGTGCTGTACAGTGGGTGTTAACCATGTGCAAGGATAACTTGAGTGGTGATGGTAGCCTCCCCTCTGCAGTAAAAGGTGGCTGCCCGGCGGAGTCTGCTCTATCGCTCAGGGTTAGCAGTACGGCGGAATCTTCCAGTACGACCAGCAGTTCGGGAGACTGTTCCAGCACAGAGTACAAGTCCGAGAACGAAGGTGACTCGAGAGGTGAGGCCGCTGGTGAAGGAGAAACCGCGGACAGCAAAGAGGAGGAAGACTTTTTCCCGTCACCAGCGAGGCGGACGAGAAGTAATAGTTATCTTGTCACTCCGTCTTGCTTATCGATAGAATCTATCGCTGGCTCCAGTAAAGAAGCGGATAACGCACTCAATGATGTTACCGAAATTTCAAGTAGAAAACGAACTAGAGAAAAGACGCAAAGCTCCTTTGAAGCAAGTACATCCACGCCAAAGCGTCTGCTTAGGAATACTGTACGAGAATCGGAAGAACCTGCAGCACAACACAATGGCGTTGAGTCTGAGACACCGCGAAGACGAAGGATTCGACATATGAGCACTCCAAATGATATGACCGACAAAATAGAGGCTAGTGATGAAGAAGTGATCGAGTCGACCGTGGAACCTGGGGCTTTATCACGGGACTCGCGCGCTAGATTTACTCGGACAGGAAAGATGTCAAAGGAAACGAGCAGGGCTGAGACCGGAAGTGAAGGAGAAATGTCAGAGAAATCGGAAGGGGACGAAGAGAGTCGAAAAGAAAACGATCCGCTTAGACAAGAAAATATGGTTGAACTTGATCAGCCAGGGAGAACAGTAAGGGGGGCGAAACGAAAACGGTCGAAAAGCACAACAGCGATTGACGATGACAGAAGAGGTAAGCAAGCTCGAAAAACGGACTTAATGAGTCGAAAATCACCCAACAGGAAGGATTTGAGGGCTCCAAAATCTACGCGAACACGAGCAAACAGAAAACACAGCGATTCTGAAGAAAGCGACCGGGGTGCAACAGACTCTGATGCGGATAATTGCAAACGTGTTCCCACATCAAGGTCGTTTACTAATGGAAGAGAGACCTCAACTGACAGCAGTTCATGTCCTCACTGCAAGCTTCAACACGATAAACTTACCAGGTGTAACTGGCGGTGCAAGGAAGGAAGCTACACGGCCAAATGCGAGGATAACTGGAATAGAAGAGAATTAAGGCTACGAAGCTTCCAGTCGCCCAAATCTCGTGCACGATGTTCGAGCGCTGTATCGCCAAAGCCACATTGTTGCGGAAGTCTTATGTCAAAGTTTTGTCGCGCAACAGTTACATAAGTCATGCAAAAGTTACATAAAATTCTTATTTCAACTAAGGTCAATATTTGGTTGTGGATCGTTGAGGAACCTGAGCTTTACCAATGAGACGTTTAAGTCCGTTAACGGATAATTTATAAACAGGAAGGCCTGATTCAAATGAGCGGTCTTCGAAAACGTCATAGAGTAGATGATTAGGAAACTGTCGCCCACGCTCTCTGCGTATATGGTGTTAGCGGTTATTCTGGTGAATATACTGAATACCCTCGAACTAATATTGCAAGTCAATTTAGAAGAAGTTAATTGTCAATTTCCTGAAAACAGTTCCAAGAGGAAGGTGACGTTTTCGGTTAGTAGTTGTGTTGCGTTCCAAGTTTTAAGTTTACAGTGTTTCCTTGATCCACAACCAAATAGATAGTTTTTTCCTTTTTCGCGTTTAGATCGAGACAGCAATTAAAAAGATACCGTACGTAATACATAGTTGTTGTCAGAATTGACCCAGAAGTGTTGTAACTTCTTTTTAACTAAAGCTAACAAAATTGCCAATATTTTTTGAAATTTTCTTGTCAAATATTGTCTGATTGGTATTGTAGTTTAGAGCTTTTGATGAACTTATGTAATCGTAATTAGTCAGCATTTGAATTTTCGTCTTTTAGTGGCGAATTGCCACTAAATAATGAGATTTTGGTTCCTATCAAGATATCGTCCTTTCTAAAATTGTCCTTTTGAGAGAATGTGAGAAACCCAGCTTTTAATTCAGCTCCAGAGTTTGTCGAAAGTCTTATTCTATTAAATTAGGTTTTTTTTTTTTACTCTGTGCTCAATTAGCATCGACCTTTTTCCCAAGAAATAATTTGGATATATCAACAGAGTTGAAGTGGTAAATTGGCCACCGTAACGATTCCAAAAACTGACGTTTCGAGCGTTAGCCCTTCGTCGGAGGGTTAGCCCTTCTTTTTCCTAAGAAGTCAGTTGTACTCTGTCTTTGCTCAAGCTTTATGTTTAACCTGCTCAAACGGCCTGTTTTACATTCTGCAAGGCTAGCTAGATAGGTGGATCATGAAACTTTCGTTGCGTAGGAATGTTTAAACTTTCGCAACTGAGGTTCGTAACTGCGAGTCAAATAAAATTTTTCCTTTATATTGTCTCATTTTTTTTAACTTTTTCAGAAATGAGTGGGAAAGGTATCAGTTTGACTAACGAAAGTCCACGCGTTCCTTTTTTCGGCAGTTGAGATTCGACGACTAGTGTCCAAAATTGGAAATAGGCCACTAGTGTCTAAACCGGCCGCAAAACCGGACAAACAAACACGGATTACTAATTGAAGGCGTTAAAAAAGTCGATTTTGAATACATTATTTGGCAAAAGAGGAAAACAAAAGTGATGAAGGTGAAGAAATAATTAAGGATTGAATTGTAATTAAGATGTCTTTTTTATTTCAGAAATAAGAGTGTTAGTGTCAGCATAACTGTCCAGAGTTTCTAGAGTTTCAAATAGTAATGCTTGAATTTTCTTTTTGAACATGTGCTTTGGTAGTTTCCGATGGCTTTCGGGAATGCTGTTCCAAATTTTAGCACCAACAATGGAAAAAGAGTTTTTATGATAATTGAGTCTAGAATGATTAATATAGTAGTTACCAGAAGATGATGAGCGAGTATTATACTGATGTATGTCTTGTGTAGAAGTAAATAGATTACAGATATTTTGAGGTGCAGAGTTAGCAGTGATATCAAACATTAAGATTGATGAAAGTCTGAAGTAGAGCATTGAGATTGGCAGAATGGTTTATGTAACACGTACAGGAAACATTTAGAAAAACCATCGAAAATTCTTCGAACAAAAAGGCTAATGAAGCAAATTCGTGTTTTCGTTGCTTGGAAAATATAAGTAGTCAGCTTCTGTTGAGCTCTTTTTGCAGAGTTGCACCCTGGTAAGATTTCAGTATCGACTGGTTGCTTACGTAATAAAATAGAGGGCAAAATTACTGAATGTTGATTGGTCAATGAAGAGGGTATTTTTTCTTAATTTTGCTTGAGAAGAGGGCAAAATTACTAGCTCATGATTGGTACTCAGGTTGCTTAGCAACAGCTTATGTTATCGAAAAGTTGTTACATACTGAAGATTTTCTGTAACAATGGCGTTTCGTTTCGAGATAGTTGACGAGGAATATATAGAAGAATTAAAAGACAAGGGTGAAAACGAAAACACGAGGAAAAGCACGGAGTACTGGAAGAACGTTTAAAAAAGTGGGCGAATGTACTTTGCCCAGAAAGGGACATCAGATGAAAAACATTTTTTGTAGCAAGCAGTGCCACTTATTTATCTGGCACTGCCACTTATTTATCTGGCACTGCTACTTATTTATCTGGCACTGCCACTTATTTATCTAGCACTGCCACTTATTTATCTGGCACTGCCACTTATTTATCTGGCACTGCCACTTATTTATCTGGCACTGCCACTTATTTATCTGGTAATGCTACTTAAAAAGTGGCAGTGCTACTTACTCGTTACAAAAAGTGTTTTTCATCTGATGTCCCTTACTGGGCACCGTACGAATGAAAGAAACTTCCAAGCAAATTTAGAAGTATACGAGAGCGATGTCCTCGACCGAACACTGGCGCAGGTTTATGCCGAGTTACGAGAAGAAAACGGGGATGAATATGGGCCTGTCTGCCTGAAAGTAATGGAGGCATCACTGGAGAGATATCTAAAATCAAAAGCCTATCCAAAGTCCTGGTATCTTAATGCAAAAATAAAATTTCATTCAGCTCATTCGTGCGTTTGTGGCCATTGATTCTCTGTCAACTTTAAATGGCTTCCTATGACTGATTACTGAAGTGCGCATTCGAAAATTCAGTAATTTTCCCCTCAATTTCATTAACAAGTTATCCCAATGGGTACTCGTAAAATTAAGGATTAATATCACGCGTGTTTTCAACTTCTGAAACACGCGTGATATTAATCCTTAATTTTACTCGGCCCCATGCGATTACCTATACAAATGGATGTGTCAGAAACGTCAACTAAAGGAATCAAAGAACCCCTGTGGCTAACTCGTGCATAAATTACTTAACTTAAAGATGAAATATGGTTGTGAACCTGTAAATATTGGTCTTGCAGCTATGCAAGGTTGCTCTTATCTCAAAAGCCAAGTCAGGGAAGTCGTAAAGAGATCCACAGTTATGGTAAGCATCCAAATCCGCATAGTTATAAAGGCATGAACAGTCTACAAAAACAACACAAAGAGTACCTTGCATTTATGGAATTCGGTCAAATTTAGACGCGGACATCCAAATCTTACTTCATCTTCACAAGCCAAATTCCACTCTCCTGTCTATTTTTCATTCCATGTCACGTTTCGCCCTACAATTGGGCAGTAAATATTTGCATTGTTAGGCAATATAATGATGCTCGCTTACAGAATTTTTGATGACAAACCTTTAAGTTTCAGTCTGCCTCGGGACGAAAATACCTTAGAACGTATTTTAAAAGACCACGTTTCGTTTTGACTGATTGAAATTAAAGAAATGCAGCAATACATTCACAAGTTTTCTTTTTGTCTGAAAGGCACAGGTTAACATCATATCATAAACAATCGAAGCAATTCACAATAGTTTGTTTGTGCCTGAACTCGATAGACTAGTTTTTGTTCATTTGGAAGATAATATTTAAAGCAACGATGCTTGGTCGATCGTTTTACGCGCAGTTACTACTTGCACTAGGGTGAGTTAATGACGACTTATTACAAGCCGCGTGAAACGCAACCACCAATAGACCAGGCCCCGGTTGTTCAACGGATGGATAACGCTATACACTGGATAAATCTCTATCCGGTGGAGAGCGCAGTACGTTTTGGTAACACTTATCCGCTGGATAGCGATTTATCCGCTGGATAGCGTTATCCGCCCTTTGAACAACCGGAGCCAGGAACGTATCTCTGTTTTACCGCGAAATTCCTCCTTCGAAACGAAACTTCTATCGCATGTATTTTGAAAACGACACGTTTTCTAATCGTGAAATTTTGCAAATAGGTTACTTAAACAATAATCTCTAATAAGTGTTAAAATTCAAGCATCCCAAAAAAAGATCCAGTTTGCCTCTGGCATCACTTAAATTACAATAAAATTCTTAACTTAAACACGTGTCGTCCAGGAGCTATAACTTGTTCAAATTACAAAAAGGAACCCAGCAGATCGAGTTGGTCCGGTCCCGTAAATCAAGTCAGACGGGCAACACAACAATCAACGCTCCCCTTTATTCTGTGCCTAAGTACGATACATTTCTAAACAGAGAAAGGTTTGGTTAACAAGTGATATTTGCAAAGTGTTGTCCCATTAACCATGATCTGCAATGCGTCTGAAACCAATTCATGCGGAGAAGGAGGTGTTTGTGTTAGTGCCGCAGCAAATTTCAGTTCCTGTTTTTGTAGCGAGGGCTATATTTTCAACGATGGCGGGCTTTGTGAAGTGCCAAGAATGCCCATGGACTATTCAGCGGTGGCTTCTTTTTGCTGGCTGTGTTTTTTGCTTGTTTTGGGAAAGTTCCTTCGCCTCTATATATGGTTATTTCAAAAGCTTTACCTCCCCGCCTCGGTCATCGGCGGTACCATTGGGCTAGTTGTACTTCAAGTAGCTCGTCTCGATCAAAACGTTTTCAAATTCATGGCGGTGAATTTCACGAGAGGATGGTAAGTAGTTTGCACTTCTTGTTTTAACAAAAACAAACAAACAACAAACAATTTATTCTTTGATTTTTTTTTTTTTTTTTTGCATAAAATAACAGTGGAATAGTTTGCCCCGCAAATAGCTAGAAAGCTAATCGTGGCGGGGCAAGACAAGTACCTGAATAACATAAATCGTCCAATATCTTAGGATAAGGAGTCTTTATTTGCAGTCACACAGAAAAAGATAAGAAAACATTTAAACGTAGGTGTATCTATGTACCTACTTTTTTAATGTTCATGGGGATTTGAATATAGTTGTCTTCTTTCTCTAAGATATCAAATAGTAATTTGCGAAGGACTTTTTTTCAACGTTTATTTATCAATGATTTATGTACATAGTCAGCAATATATCACTATAGGTGAGGCAAACGGTAAATCTGGTACATTCACTATAAAACAACAGTCGGCTACACGAACAGATTGTATGGGCTCCCTGTGAGTTATCATACTTGAGTGATTATGGGTTTAAAGCAGTGAATTAAAACACGAATGACAAACTGGAAACAAATGTGACGCTTGAGTAAAACGAACGGCTATTTAAATTAACGAATGTTGAACTTAAAACATTTACAAAGTCGACGTCAATACACGAACTTTACGCTTGAATAAAACGAATGTCGATCTTCAAAAGCGACTGTCATGGTTACATAAAACGAATGTCAAGGTTGAAAATAAGGAAAACGAATGACAAATGTCACGCTTGAATTAAACGAATGTCGAACTCAGAAAACGACTATCAAGGTTAAATAAAACGAATGTTGAAATTGAAAAACGAATGTCAAGGTTGAATAAAAAGAATACTGAGCTTGAAAAACGAGTGTTAAGGTTGAATAAAAGGAATGCTGAAATTGAAAAACGAAGGTCGTATGTAAAAACGACTAACAAATTGAATTTTGATAGGAAAAACGCGCCATATTAGAGAACCAAACCTGAACTCACAAATTGTATCAGTCACCCACCAATGTGTTCTGTTGCGTCTGATGCAGGCTAATTACCAATCAACAAGAAGACAATTTTTTCATCGATCGTTTTCTGTTGGTGTAAATAAATTTCAGGGCTGTCTATGTGGGTGATCTGTGGGGAAAAAATAAGCACAAAGGCCAGCTTCTACGTGCGTTACCAGTAGGGGAAAAGACGGCCCTTTAGGTAGTACAGCTTTACTGATAAAAATCCTGATCATACACGCAAAATATCGGTACTAATATTTGTAAAACTCTCTCAAAGAAAAGCGACTTCAGAAGTTCATTTCCATCGAAACAAGTGAGACAGTGGGAAAACAAAAATTTGCAGTAACTCTCGGACCTTATTGCGAGTTATACATTAGAAAAAAAAAAAACGATTCCCACAACTGGCCACGGTATCCCTGTGTTATCAAAGATTTGTTGAGAAAAAGCACTCTTCCAGATTTCGTATTTCAGATAAGTTCTTCTGTCTCTTTATGCAGGCTTAATTAAAGCACTACGCATGCAAACCAGTCGATGTTAAATAAGCGCCTGAAATTCGCCTTCAAGGTTTTTAGCTTGCTCTATTAATCGAACACTTGGAGATATATACAAACTCGTAGAATGGACGAATGAACTTACCTAAATGTGTTCAAGCCGAGACAAAACCTACTTTACAGCTTGATGTGAGGTAAGTAGTCTACTCCTTGGTTGGCATATGCTCAAGTCATCACCAGTCGCTTTGAACCAGGGACCTCAGGGTACGCTTCGGGCCTACTTGCATAACTTTCCTTGCACGGAAACATGGGAAACTACTTCAAAATACGTCGAAAAAAACTGATGCAAAAAAAAAGGTTAAATTGGAAAGAGAGTTCCTAGGTAGGTAGGTAAAGTTGCTCAGGGCAAGGAAACCTTGTGAATCTCAGCGAGACTTTGGCACAGCCATAATATGAGAGGGTGGTTTCTTCTTTCCTGTTTTTCAGGTACAATCTGGCAGGATTTCTGATAAACATTGTTTTCTCCTCCTTGTTTCTTGGCACCCAAATCCCTAAAGTGAAGGTGATATGGACACAGGCTGGGCCTCAGCTAATGTACGGCATGATCATTGCCTGGGGACAGTGGATTGTGGCACTTGTTGTCACCGGTGCTCTTCTGGTGAGGGTGCATTTAGGCAAACCAAATTATATATGTAAGCAAGTTTCTGTCCTCTTTCTTTTCCTTGCCTAATATCTTGTTCTTACTTAGTATCAGGAAAAACTTCATAGTTTGTCTTTCATTTGATTCATATTGATAAGATTTTAGCAAAAACATAATTTGTGTGATATTGTGTCCAGAGTGAAAAAACTTTCCCCAGACCCATCCAAGGAAATGTTGTGGAGGTCATTTGATCCCTCCCCGCCCCCCCAACTACCACCCCTCTGTGAAAGATACAAGCTCCGGAGTGACTAATTAAGAGAGAATCCAGGAAAATCATTCAGTGAAAGTTCCAGAAGCAAGATTTATGCTCATTCTACAGACTGTCTGGGATTTTGGAGATATTACTAGCCTTCCAACCCTGTATTTTGATCACAAAACCTCACTACCTGGCACTAATCATGTTAATCATTTCCCTAAATGCATTGCTGTCAGATGCCTGTTTTTGGTGTCAGTCCATTATTTGCAACTATTCTACCTGTGGGGTTTGCAGGAGGTCATGGGACTGCAGGAGGACTCACACCAACATACAAGACAGTAAGTCATGTTCTTGATGTTAGCTCCTGCTTTGCACTAAGGACCTTCATTACTTGTGATGAAATATAGGGACTTTCTTCAAATTTTGAAGTACTGCTAGGTTCACATTGCAGTAAAGTCAATAACATTACATATCACTAGAAACAAGTAACCTACCTGTTAACTATGCTATAGGTTATATATGCTTCTTGAATGACATCTCAAAGTTGATTTAGAGTGTCTTGACTTGGTGCAATCTTGAATTGCTCCCCGATTGTGAGAGTAATTGGTGAACAACTACAAAGTTCCCAAGCTGAGCAAAGTTCACAAGCCATTCTGTTGCATTTTAAGTCATTTCCAGGTTCATTAAATTATGCAAGCTCAGATCATTGACCAGATAAACCACACATCATTGCATGGTTCCCTTTAACCTACTTCCCTTTGTTTTAATCATGATATTTCTTTACTATTTTTTAAAAAGTTAATGAAGTCTTGTCTTTGTATTGAACTGGTTGTATTGAACTTTGTATTGAACTGGTTGGTGGCTTATTAGTATATATATTATTTCTACAGGATAGCCCCTTCAGTGTAGTAAACACTGGTATCAACGGGGGTCCTGTTACCCACCCATCCCACCCCTGGGGAGGACATCCATCACAGTAATCTCGTGCGTGGGAAATTAACGTTTCCTGCCCCTAACCCTGCAGGAGACGGGACCTCCATTTATTCATCCCAATCCGAGAAGACTAGAATATCTAACCATTTCTTGATGTTATAGAAAGGTAGCATATTCTTCTCAATTATTTTAAGACCCTGAGTGTTGGTCCGGCCGGGGCTGGAACCCTCGACCTTCCGCACAACAGTCCAGCGCTCTATCCATTTAATGCAAAACCCAAAGTTATCCCAACCGGGAATTATATATCGCTAGACACAAGGCAACTTAGAAGTGACTTTGACCGGGCTCCCTGGCATATAACTAGTTTATTCGACGACATCGATGACAGTGTAGACGTTGTCTATACAATGAAATCCTACATCACCACCTACCCCCACGAGATGCTAAAATAAGAGATAAGTCTCTTCCTTGGATCAACACTTCCATCAGGAAAGAAATGAACAAAAGATACAAGCTCCCTAAAAAGGCAAAGTCATCTGGTGACCCCGAATTATGGAGTCTCTACAAACAGAAGTGATATGAGGTTAAGAAGCTACTAAGGAGTGCTGAAGCTGATTATTGGCAAAAATTATTCAATGAAGCTACTGATTCTAATGAATTTTGGAAATTGACCAACCAAGTCTTGAGGAAGCACAAAGTTAAAAACATCGGTCCAATCTGTGATCACAACGAGATAATAACCCATGATTTAGAGAAGACAGAGTATTTTAATGACTTTTTTGTGAATGTCAGCAAAGACCTCACTAAGCAACTTGACCCTTTGAACTTGTCATCTATAAACACCTTTATCACTAGAGTCACTCCTACCAGGGACAAAACTGACATGAGCTGGGAACTGGTAAAAAACAAACTGATTAGAGCTACTAACCCCAAGAAGGCTACTGGTCCAGACCAAGTATCCCCCAGGGTCCTCTCCATGATTGGTGACCCTATTATCCACAGTCTTTCACCAATCTTCAGGAAGAGTATATGTGATGCATCTTTCCCTTCAAGCTGGAAATTATCACGCGTTAACCCCATATTTAAGAAAGGCTCACCAACAGAAGTGAACAACTACAGACCTATCTCCCTCCTCAGTAGCCCAGGGAAAATCTTGGAAGATGTTGTCAGTGATACCTTGAACAACTATTTGGACACACAAGGCTTGTTATCTCATAAACAGTGGGGTTTTCGGAAAAATTATTCAACAGAAAGCCTCTTACTTCACCTAACAGAGACCTGGAAAAATGCGCTAGACAAGGGCCTGAAAGTGGGCGTGCTTTTTTATTGACTTTCGAAAAGCATTCGACACAGTGAACCATACCATCCTTCTAGAGAAGCTAAAGGCAATTGGGATATCTGGCGATTTGCATTCGTGGCTTACCGATTACATGTCTGCACGTAAACAATTTGTCCAAATATCAGGATATCAGTCCGAGCACAAAACCATCACACATGGAGTTCCCCAAGGCTCAATACTAGGGCCAAAATTATTTTCAATATTTGTAAACGATCTTCCAGAATCAATAACTAGTGGTGAATTATTTATGTTTGCCGATGATACCACTATTTTTACAATTGGAAACAACATCGACGATATCATCTTAACACTCCAGTCTGTACAAGACCAGCTGTACACCTGGCTCCGGTTGTTCAAAGGGCGGATAACGCTATCCAACGGATAAATCGCTATCCAGCGGATAAGTGTTACTAAAACGCACTGCGCTATCCACCGGATAGAGATTTATCCAGTGTATAGCGTTGTCCATCCTTTGAACAACCGGGGCCTGGTGTCAATCTAACAGATTAAACGCCAACGAATCGAAATCTGAAGCCCTGATAATTTCTAGCCAGAACTTTATTGGCCCCTTGCCACGTTTAGCCTTTGGTAATCATCTAAATGTCTTGCGGTGACAATTGACAGCAAGCTATCATGGCAGGAGCACATAAAGAACGTTTGTAAGTCATTCAGCAACAAAGTCGCAGTANAGAAATGGGAAGATCTTCGTTTAAGCACAGAGCTGCACTATCCTGGAACCTCCTTCCTGAAGACATCAAGAACTGTTCAAACTTAACTTCTTTCAAGAGAAAACTCAGGGAAAATTAGAGAATTCTGAAATCTATCAGTTTTGCTAAAGCTTCCTGCAGCGTTTCCAACAAATCTGTTGACTTTAAATACTTTTAACAATTTTACTCCGTATTGTTATTAATATTTCTTTCTTTCAATTGTCATTATTTACATACCCATTTTCGGTTTATTCACTAATTAGGTATTTATTAATCAATAGTTTAATTGATGCAGGTTTACATCAGGACGTAATGTCTTGCCTATCCCTCAACCTGCTTTATTAAATAAACTATGATGATGATGATGATGATGATGATGAGCTAACCGGGAGGCGGTTATTAGACTTGGATCTCGCAACAAAAATAAACTTTCTGATCAATTGATAAAATAAATCATTTCTCTTTATTGTTTTTAAGCTAGGGTTTCCCAATGGTGGTGACTTTGGTTTGGCCAGTGCCACCTTGGGACTTGTTTTCTCCGTTATTTGTGGTGTTATGTGGGTTAACATTGCTACTCACAGAGGATGGGTCAAGCAGGAAAGAATTGACGCTTCTAAGGAAGTCAAGATATCCATAAGGTTTGTGTGCGATATAGGCATGTGGGCATTACATCCTCATTTATAAACAAAAAACAGTAAGTGATCAGACAGACAGATAGTTTTATAACCTGCAAGCTTGCATGGCTACTGACTGTCTGTCTATGGTACGTACTGGCTGATGTCTGAATAACTGAATGACCCAACTGAACAACTGACAGACACACTTGATAATTGATCTTTGTCTTGTTTACTTATAACCCCACTACTCCCAAGATCTGATCCTTAATTCTCCTTTCCAGCTGCTCCACATTTCCTTGTGTATAAGTTTCAAGAATTGGGTGTTAGATCAAAACACTTCTACTTGATAAGTGTTGAGTATTAATTCTCATTACTTGATGGGTAGATAATGTATGGATATTTTAAGGGGAAGTTACACCTTAAATCACTTGTGAGAGGGTAACTTACACATAAAAGAGGCTGACCTCAATGACTGGACAGGGTTTGTACCCTTTTTCAGAAACAAATTTCAAGGAATTTTCCAGGCTCGGATTGATTTTTCCAGGACTCTAAATTTGACCTTTAACCCTGTCATTCCCAAGATTTCAAAATCAATTCTCCCCCTTATGGTCTATACACATGTCTTATAACGTAAATTCTGAAAACTTTATTGCTTGATTTAATCAAATTTCCAGGACTATCCAGACCCTGTAGTCTTTTCCCAGGACTTTCCCGTCCTGGAAAATGTCAAAATAAAATTCCCAGACTTTCCAGGTTTTCCAGGACCAGTACAAACCCTGCTGGATGGCAGCTGAGTCTCAGATGGAGAAACTAATAGACTGCCTGATTGACTAACAAACAGAGCATGAATGGATGAACTAATTGCTACTGAGACATTGATTTTTTAAAAAAATTGCATAGGGGTGTGTATACTGTAGGGAGTCGACCCTCAGCTGGAGTTCAAACCGTGAGAGCCAGTTCCATAGATGTGTTGGCATTTCACCTTGCAGTGCTTGGGATAGCTATATTGATTGGGTATGGACTGAAACAGGGGTTGATTGCCATTGAAAGTACATCACAGAAGCTCAAGGATCTTAACTTTCTCTCTGGTATTCCTTTATTCCCATTGTGTATGGCTGGAGGAATCATTATCCAGGTGAGGGAAGTTTAACTTTGCTCTTAGAATGATGTTATATCTTTGTCCAACAGTTAGTAATAATTGCAATAAAGATCTCTTCTGTAGTTATGCTTCCAGGTTTGATTTGGTAAGTCTTCCAGCCTAAAGTCAACTTCACTCTTTGATCTCTAAGAGTGACTAGCATCCAATTTCTCCATACAATATCTCCCCTAAAGCCCACATAGAGGTCATGAAAATAAACAAAATAAAGAAACTCTTGATTGTAAATAAGTAAATAAATTCTCGAGCCTACTGATGTATAGGGTGTCAATTAAGGGTTAACCCAAACTGCAAGAGAAGTAATAATTAAACTAACCAACTTCTCGCAAATCTCAGGGGCTGCAAACCATGAAACTTGAACTTAAGATTACTGTGGCCCACATGCAGACAGATCTCTAAAGCATAAGAGTTTTGTGTGTGGCCCACATACCATGTAAATGAATGCTTTGGTTCCTGAATAATGATGATAGTCTTTCTCTTTGTAGCTTGTTATTGAGAGAATTCAGAAGATTAATGAATTGATTGATGCATCTCTCATGGAACGCATAGCCTCGTCTTCTTTGGATTTCCTTGTCACCTCAGCTATTGCCAAAGTTGATGTCTCAGCCATTGCTGTTGACATTGCCCCCTTATTGATCCTGTGCACCTGTGGCTTTATCTGGAACTTTGTCATGTTGGGTTGTGTTTCAAGGTTCTTGTTACCCAACCACTGGTAAGTGAAAATTTCAATTTAAGTGAAAATAACATTAATTTCCCAGATCTGTAGTGAGTGGATTGTGGTTAAATCCCAAGTTTTATTGTATCAAAATCATCTATCTTAAACTTTGTTTTTTAAACTCGTGTCTATTTTTTGCTAAGTTCCTCTACCTTTCATCTAAAGAGCTTACAGTAGGATAACTGTCTACTCAAAACCACATCTTCTTTCCTTCCTCTTTTCTCTTTTAATTGGAATTCATGCGCCATGCCAGAAGAGTTTTAATTAGATCATTGTAAATTTTAAGTGATTTTGGCAAATTAGATCATTGTAAAATGCTGTTCTCAGCTGAGCATCATTTAGCTTAAAATGCCTTCAACCTATACTAGAGTAAGGCTTGAGCATAGGGTCTCAGGGTGTAGCCAATGTACTTCAACCTATACTAGAGTAAGGCTTGGGCATAGGGTCTCAGGGTGTAGCCAATGTACTTCAACCTATACTAGAGTAAGGCTTGGGCATAGGGTCTCAGGGTGTAGCCAATGTACTTCAACCTATACTAGAGTAAGGCTTGGGCATAGGGTCTCAGGGTGTAGCCAATGTACTTCAACCTATACTAGAGTAAGGCTTGGGCATAGGGTCTCAGGGTGTAGCCAATGTACTTCAACCTATACTAGAGTAAGGCTTGGGCATAGGGTCTCAGGGTGTAGCCAATGTACTTCATAAGGAACTCCCTGAATTTGGAAGTGCACACACAAGGTGAATCCACAAAATTTTACATCTGATCAATAGTTACTATATTTGTTCTATCTGTGATTATTACTTCCTTCAACGGGAAAATATGGACAGAAATTATCTTAAGTACTGAAAAATAAATGAATTAATTCTTCAAGGAAAATGGTTTTAAAATACCTATAGCCAAAGAATTAGAGGTATTTGATTAAAAATTATTGCTGATGATTTGTTGCTTACAAATTAAGGCTTAACTTTCCTTTTTCTTGCTTCAAGGTTTGAAAGAGCAATTGCAGACTTTGGAATGAACACTGGTGTTATTGCAACAGGGCTAATTCTCCTACGAATGGTGGATCCAGAATGTCGCACTCCAGTTCCTGCTGACTTTGCCTTCAAACAGCTTCTTCACTCTCCATTTATGGGTGGTGGCATCTGGACTTGCCTGGCACTTCCCTTGCTGAGTATCCTGAAGTAAGAAAATATTGCTGGGTCATCTTTATTATGATTATCATGATTGGGGTCAAAACAAAAAACAAAAATTTACATTTGACATGTGTAACTTTAATTTTTTTTTTTTAATTCACTGATTTTGAAGCTTCAAATTGATTGCCCTGTCAGTTGTAAGGGCAATAGGCAACACACTCTATCAGATCACATCCCAAGTGGGTAATTGGACCAATGAAGCAATAAAGATTACAAAATAAAATAAAAGATAGGTTTTTTACCACTCGGAGCTTGTTTAATTTATTTTAATGGGTTTTAACATGAATGTAACACCCCATCCCTAATAGAGAAGCTAATTGCAAAATTAAGATCTTTGGAGTGTAATGTTTGATGAAATCAACTTTCCTTCTTTCTTTCCACACAGCATCTGGGTGGTTACACTCATTGCAGCAGTTGTGTTCTGCTTGTGGCTGTTGAGCTACTTGTGAGTGATAGGTTTGTGTGTATTGGACAAGTATGAAAACTTTTAGTGATTTTGGGCCAAAGAAAAAAAATTGGACCAGACTTTGCTCAAATGAAAAGATCACGAGAATTAAAGTAGCTATATTTTTAAGATATGTTGAAATGCTTTTAATCTTTCAGTTTCTACTTTCGCAAGCACTACACTGAAACATGTGGCTGTGGTCTGTGTGCTGAGGAGAAGCCCATGTCTCATTCAAATCAAGTTGGTTATGGCAGTTTACAGGGAGGGGGCAGTCAGGAAATGAATGGTGTCCATGTTGAGAAAGAAGAGGAGAGCAAATGATCAAACAAAAAATGTAAACAATGAAGCTCATGTGGAGCAGATACAAGACCAGTGAAACTGTTTGGTGTCTCTTATTTTCTGTAAAACAAACTTGTTTGAGTTGTAAAAACCACAAACAATGAAAACCAGTAAGGGGACATTTGTGTGTCAAATGTTTCACTGTAATGTAAGTGTACATTTTGATGCTGTTGTTTTTAAAAAAGAATGTAAATGTTAAAAACGACTGGACTGTGAATATTAATGTGACATTAACTTGAGGGGCAATGGTATGTTTTTCTTCTGGACTGAATTTCCAGAGCTGGGTTTAAGATAACCCAGGGTTTGTGTGAAATCTGATTTCAGAGTTTTAAAGGAAAAATTTAGTAGAATTCTCTTTGTCTACAATTTGATGATTGGATGCTTTAAAGTGAATAGAGAAAATTATCTGAAAAAAGACTTTTGAACAAATTAAGGATTAAAGAAATCTTGATTAAAATTTAACACTAGGTTAGCACTAACTGGCCTTTGAACGACTTGGCCCTACCTGTTATAGTTGAATGTTCCTTGGCTGATTAACCCATTCACTCCCTGGAGTGAGAAATAGATAACTTCTGAAAATTCAACAACTTTCATTGGACAAGCAAGCAAGTAATGAGAATTAATAAAATTACCAACCAATGGGAATGTTGCCTTAGTTAATAGATGACCAAACTCTCAGCACTAGCCAATCGTGAAAGAACTCACTCCTTCACTCATGCCCTTTTACGCCTAAGTGGCCTCCACATCTGCCGGTCCCTTACCATGACCTTGAAGCCTTCCCAGGTCTTTTCTTTCTCTACTGTGTGCCACCAGGTGTTCTTGGGGCTGCCTCTACTGAGTTCCCTTCATGTGTCCAGTGTAGAGCAGTTTTTGCACTAGAATTAAGCTTCTTGGGAGATGACATGTCCAATCCATGTCGAGCATCTCATCAGGATGAACAATTGTGTCAGCTCCACATTGTTCATGAAAGAAGTATGAGCATATTTTTAGAGAACGATCCCTCTGTTCTTGCTAGTGAAAAGTTATCTCTTTAATCCCTAACAGTGACCAGTATCTTCGTACAGTATTAGACTGCTGGATCATTCATCAAGATCATGAGAATAAAGGAAATGAAGGCCAACCAAAGCATTCTTGATTGTTAAATGAGTTCACTGCGTCAGTACCAAAGGAAATGCTAACTGCCTCCCGGTTAGCTCAATGGATAGAGCGCTGAACTGTCGTGCGGGAGGAAGAGGGTTCAAGCCCCAGCCGGACCAACACTCAAGGTCTTAAAATAAAAATGAGGAGAATATGCTACCTTTCTATAACATCAAGAAATGGTTAGATATTCTAGTCTTCTTGGATAGGGACGAATAAATGGAGGTCCCGTCTCCTGCAGGGTTAGGGGTAGGAGACATTAATTTCCCATGCACGAGTATACTGTGTGATGGATGTCCTCCCCTGGGGTGGGATGGGTGGGTGTAGATAGAGGACCACCCTAATTAACTTAGNNNNTTTATTATTATTATTATTATTATTATTATTGAAATGTACAGAGGAAAGTATGGAGAAAATGCCTACTGATCTCAGGGTGTAATGGGTTAAATAGTTTCAGATTGAGTGATTACTGAGCACAAAAAAACCATAGTCAAATTATGTTGACCATTTATTAAAAGAAGATGAAGTGGACTTCAGAATGGTATAGTTTCCTCTCATTTGGTGGGGTGCTAAATCAATCAGTTGTAACATTGTACAACCGACAGTTGACAAAGAGATTTGTTACTTAGAATTCCTAAAGCATAACAAACACCAATGTATTTTTCAAACAGAACAACTACAATACATTAAATCTACCCTCAGTTAAAATATTTTTATTCTGAAAGGGGCAACCATCTCAGATAAATATTGCTGTGAAACGTCTATTCAAGCATGGAGTGAGTAGGTCATATACATATCCAGGTAATTTGGTTATATCAACTAAGTTAAAATTTTAAATTGGCCACAGTAACGAGTAAAATGTTTTTTAACTCATTATGGTAGCCAATTTACAATTTCAACTTAGTTGATATAACCAAATTACCTTGATACCCCCACCGACACAGCACCACAGTTTCTTTAGAAACTTTCACCCTTCATCCATATACATTATCCAATGAGTTCTGCATCCTAACAACAATACATATATTTTATTGTACTTTATATGGAAATATGATGCTTTGAAAATTGAAATTGATAGGTTTTCATCATAGAATGACAGATAATTTGCCAATTTCCTTAGTCTGCATGCACAATATTTTTTACTAAAGAAAAATTAGTCAATTTGAAAAGTTTGAATGAAGTATATTATTGGTTGGGCATTTGATATGAAAACAGTTTGTAGTCTAAAGCAAACTTTTTCAAAACTTTTCCCATCATATCAGGGGGTATATTTGAAACTTTCTTGCTCTTGACATATCCTTTCCCACCTGCCTGGTAATATCTTTGTTGTCTGGGGAAGGAAACTTGTTTATCAACATTAAGTACTTTTAATACACGAGTAGAATCTGATTCCAGATTCTCCATGGATCCTATGAAGTCATAGGAAACAACACATGGCTGACATAACTTGTAAAATGGCATCCAGTGCTCATTCATGTCCTCTACATGACTGTCCACAACATACTGTAAAAATTCTTCCACTTTAACATCATTTCCTTTTGGGTTTGCTGGAGCATTTTTGCGTGCATGTTTTACAATTTGTGTTCCAAATGTTTTGTGGAAAGCAGTATTGTTCAAGACAAATTTATCTTTGTATGCTGATAGAAGTCTTGCAAAAGGTTCTCGCACAAACATGAACTTGTAGTATTCCCGAAGTTTGTGTTTAATAACTCCTGGGGAAAAATCTGACAGCACTGTGAACGAATTGTGAAGTACTCTCCGAATAGCATTGGCATCAATCGCTTGACCGTCAAGCACCATCATTACTCTCTTCCAGTTTGAGCATGCAGCTTTTGGTACAGAACAATACAAAAATCTGTGCTCATCATCTACTAAAATGTGTTTTCCCAAGATCTGTTTTTCTACTTTGGACAGAGAATCCCATGACTTTTGCATGTTTCCACACACTTCCTTTACAGATTGCAGTCTTTGTTCACTGGTGGCCTGACAAAAATGAATGCACCAGATGTAAAACACAGCTAGGTAGGGATTCACATGTACATGCAACAGTTTCTCATAAACAATTGAGGGTGAAAACATTATAGAGAGGTTACATTACTGCATACAAATTGTAAGAAAAATCAGACCACAGGCAGCCCAAGCTCACTGCTAGAAAAGCGGACGTGACTCTTTCCATGTTGTGCAACGTTTTATATTTATAAAGGTTTGTATGGGATGTTATCGGTTTGCCTTAAAAGAGAGAAAAAATGTCTTGTTTTGAAATAAAATGGACTTACCTTATTGCATTGTTGTTTTCTTTGTTGATTCCTAGCGTCTCAGGCCATTTTGAAGCGCTTTTTGGCGAGTTAGCGCTATGTTGGTATTCAACTGCTAAAAGAAAAGTCCTTTCTTTAGCAGTTGAACACCAACATAGCACTAACTCGCCAAAAACACTTCAAAATGGCCTGAGACGCTAGGAATCAACAAAGAAAACAACAAGGCAATAAGGTAAGTCCATTTTATTTCAAAACAAGACATTTTTTTCTCTCTTTTAAGGCAAACCGATAACATCCCATACAAACCTTTATAAATGTAAAACGCTGCACAACATGGTAAGAGTCACGTCCACTTTTCTAGCAGTGAGCTTGGGCTGCCTGTGATCAGACATGCTCCTTAAGCCACTCCCAATTCAATTGTCTTTAATAAGGAAGGAACTCTGGTGGGTGACACTGGTTCAATTTCTCTAGAATGAAGCCCTTGAGTTGAACTTGTAGTCTTATGGTAGAGCTGGTCTGATATGACTGATGTTCAGTCTACCCACAAAATACGGGTCACTGTTCTTATGGGAATAGCATCACAGAATTCTCCATCTACCACACAGAATTCTCTGGTTGATAAAGTTTAAATTATCATAGTCTAAGCTACTTTTGTTCAAACCTGGAGAATGTATTATCCTGTTAGCGTCTATGACTCTCTTACCTCAACAGTAAGGTAAGTCGATCTGCCCTCATGTTAAAATAATATCTAAATATTAAGATGCTGTGTATCCAGAAGCTTTGCAATCTGGCCACTTATTGGAAATTACTTTTAAGAGCAAATATGAAAAATTTCCACTTACCACATAATTCTTTACAGTCATTTTTCTACTGCCTGCAAAAAGAAAACATTCAGCTGATAACTAGAACAGTACCTGCAAATTACAATCTCCAGATTGTATATTTTATTGCAACAACAATTGCAAAATAACAACTAAGGTATCCCTTTACGGTCATCCTTAAAGAAAAATGAGAGTCTAAAGTGATTCATTTATCTTACACCTAGATTTTAAATAAAATTAAATTTAAGTTTAATTTCAATAAATTTTGGAGGACTTGTTACAAAGCTTTGGAAACCATCTTGTCTCAAGTCCCTTAAATTACTAAAACTTCCCATTTACAGCTACAAAAATAGTACACAAAATTTCCATTAACAATGATTCTTTTGATGAGAAACTGAGGGTAAATGATGAACTCACGCTAATAATTTCACTCATCTACCAATGTAGCCTAACTTTTTTCCTTGGAAACTAATTAGATACTCTGGTATGCATATATTAAAGTATTTTCTTCCACCTAACTGGCAACACTATTCATGAAAACTTTGTAATTAGGGTTTATGATTGGCAGTTTGATGTTACTTGTATTTTAACACTACTGGAAATTATGGCTAGTCTTTTGTGGATTAATAAATGTTAAGTCTGATTCCAACCCCGCCCCCCCTGTGGTCCACAAAGCTTTTTTTTCAGACATCACACACACCTGATAACTTCACTACATTTTTTTTTCAAGAATCAGGTAAAAAAAATTGTTTTATTAAATCTAAATTCAAAGAAAGATGACTAAAATCGTACAAATGCTTTCATCTAAGCTTAACTATAGCCCTTCATGGAAATAGTTTTTCACTCAGCCTTTATGTTATTCTAACATTCCCACCAAATGCACATCATCGTTGGCACAGAATAATACAGAAAAGAGAGAGAAAAGTTCGCAAATTCCCGTAAGGAAAACCCTTTTATCATTCCAGTTTATTTGTTTAAAGCACAGCTGTATCACACAAAATGCACACATCCGAAATAAAAAACACCTTTTTCTTTCCATTCAAATTATGCCTGGTTAGAATCTTAAAAGTTTATGCCAGTGAAACACACCAAGGACCAATTCAAGGGCTTTTGAAATAAAATGGACCATTTTCTCACGTTGAGCCAAGTGATCAATCAAGACACACGTTTCAGTTATTAGTTCGACCAATTCACAGACCACAGGTTATTCAGTTGATTTCTGTGATCAAGCGCTACTGCATTCTTCATTCAAGTCAACTGGTGTTCGTTCAATTGAGGGTAAACAGTGAAAATCAGCCAGACTAGAAAAAACATGTCCACATCTTATCAGAACGGGAAACCCTCAGAATTTTAACTTGTCACACGCGCGAAAGGCTACAGTTATCTGTTTATCAAAATAATCAGCAGCACAGCGCCTGTACGCAAATAAAAAAAAAAAACAAACATTGAACTTTTCAGTGATAACGATCTTAAATTGTGATTCAGTTCAGTGACCAACTGAAGTAATATTACACCGCGAAAAGTCGATGTCTTGAGGATGGATAAAAATCTTTCACCTTTCCATCTGAAAAACTACACTTACATGTAAGTTATTTGCGTATTAAGCGTGACAAGAAACAGAAACTGACGGATGAGCGCACTAGTTAACCTAAAGAGTGGCGAATTCAAGACTTCTCACAACTTTCACTCACCAGAAATCCTCATTTCGCCATTCCCTTTCCCCGATAACAGAGCTGTCAACCGCAGTCTCCATGTGTAACTTTCTGGGAGCAAAATAAAGATTTGTACTACAAAAACCACGCCACAAATCAACAAAAGTGCAGCGAATCGAGATTTTGAACACCTCATTTTGTAACACACTATTATAAGTGATCTAACAGACAAGTGGGAACTTTCGCTAATTGTAAGACTGCAAAGGATATTATTAGCTTCCACATCTGGACTGTCTGTCTCACCAGCAACCAATCATGTTTCCGCCCGCTTATTGCCTGCTTGAACAGCGTGACAAGCCTGTCACAGATTTTACATGCAATTTTATAGTTTTTGTTGACAAGGCTTTTCCTATATATGGAAATGCCCTTTCAATTGTTTCGATTTAAAATACAACACTTGAAAATTTTACAATTTTTGTAAAAAATGTGGTGTTGGCTAATGATGGATTTGCGAATAGGAAGATGTTGCAAGATGTATGTATGTAAATGTAGATGTTGACCGATTTTTCAACGCTGCACCGGAAAAAATCCAAATTTTTACCACGCTATCCTCAAAAGAGAGTTAATAAAGTTTCGAGCGCTAACTCTGACGAAGGGTTGAAGCTTGAAACTGCAGCTCAAAGAACTTTACAGCGACTAAGTTACATTTTTTGTCTCTCCCTCCCCCCCCTCCCCTCCCCTCCCTTTCTCCAACGAAGCGGCAACGCAGCTTCTTAAGAAACTTATCTTTTTTTTAGGCCTTTCCTGATTGTGCACGTAAACTGTTGGAAAGTTGCTCACGGAACGCCAAAAAGTTGCTAGAAAATCGTTAATAATCCAAAAATTTGCTACCTAAATTTTATTAGGTGACTCATAAGTTTCTTGATATTTTCATATAAACTTTAAAAGCTATATTTTTCGTTCTGCGCTATAATAAACTAAGCTAGCTTTAAAGAGTTATTCGCAAGTAAAGGCGGCTTCTAACCATACATTTCTGTTCATGGAATGTAAATTAACAAATACAGCCATTTTTGTGCGTTGTTTTAACCAATAATCTGTTCCAATGTTCTATACCGGCAATAGGCCTACCAAACATTACCCTGCTGGCAGAGGCGTTTATTTGTTAACTTCCCCTGCGGTCCACATAAAAATAAAGTCCTCTGCACTCGGCCTGATAAATCTTCCTCGAGCATGCGCGGCCTGTTGCTTAGAAACAAATTAGTTCTCGGTAGTACTCGGCCAACTATATAGCTAAATAGGATGCGTACGCATAAAAACGTGTTTAAAACAGGTTCTGACCGGTTTTGCAAATCAGATTATCCACAAACTTGGATAATTCCCAGGCGCATGCTCGAAGAAGATTTAACAGGCCGAGCGCAGAGGACTTTATTTTTACGTGAACCGTATGGGGTAGTTAACAAATAAACGCCTCTGCCAGCAGGGTAACAAACATACAAGAAATTTGCATAAACCGTTTTTCATTTTTAAATCTTTGACTTTATTGTGCTTGATATGAGTTCTAAACCTTGAAGTGGCTTAAAAATCATTCAGAAAGGTAAAAATTGCTCGAGGTTGCTAAAACTGCAAAAAGTTGGGAAAGATTTCCATATAACCCCAATACATAAATTATTCATTCCATTTCATAAAGACTAGACTAAATATAAAGGTTTCTTTGCAACACTCTATGCATAATTAATGCATGGGGTTATATGGAAAACTTACCAAAAGTTGTCCCAAACGTCAAAAGTTACTCAAAAGTTGCCGAGCACAATCGGGACCGTGGGACCAACCCATTTATCCTCAGTCAAGTTTGCCGCGGCCAAGACTTTCGTTAGCCATGCACTTAAATGTGCTAATCATAAAAATAATCATATGTTAAATTTATGCATAAAAGCATCCATTTATCAAAAAAAAAAAAAAAATGAGAACTCAAACTTTCCACATTGTTCACTCACTAGAAACCTCCATGTCACTGCCATTCCAATTATCAGGCATCAGGGTTGTAACATGTAACTTCCATCCGTGACTCTCTAAGTACAATATGACAACTTGCACCACCAAAACCAGGCAAAACATCAACAAAATTAAGGCCTTGAAACGTGCCATATTCCTGTCAGGACTGTAAAAAAACGTTATTGGGTCAAAAAGTTATTGGGTCGTAAACTGAGAGGCTGTAAAAGTTTTTGATTAGAATTTCTAGCCCACGCAGAATTGAAACCGGCGCACCGAAAGGACCGATCCCAACACTGAAGACGCAAACCTTGGATAGAGTTAATTAGAATATCAATTCAGTTTTCATTCTTACAGTTCTTTAAATTCTTTTGTTTTTTAACGAGGCAGCTTTGTTATCCTTAAACAACATCATTTCTGTCAAAAAAAAAGATCAAAACTTGTAAAGCATTTCTTCGATATCCTTTTAATAAATAATTGTGATACAGTCGGTGGATTTTGAAAGATAACGAAGTTTTTGTGAGCCTCCTTAACATATTTTATCGAACTAATTCTTGAATGAAGACTGCATTCAAATATCGTAAATTTTCCTGAGGGATTGGCAAACGAATGGAGCTGAAAAATAGATTTTAAAAGTTTTAGTTGCGCATCATGTACTATCGATTCGCTTAAGAGCCTAGCTCATAGATATCATGATAGTTGGCTCTCTCTCTTTAAACGCCGTATTCCGTTCCATTCTGTCTCCTTCTGAAAATAGGTATGACAAGTAAGGCGTCGTTTATCATTTGAACAAAATCTTTGTCGGGTTTGAATTATTCAAAACAATAATTAACTTATGACCTGATTTGATCATGTGGCCACCGTAGAGAGGTTACAAAGCTGACGTTTGATTCGCCAGCACGGATAGAAGGGCTAACGCTTCACACTTTAGCTTTACAACCTCTCTAAACTGGCTAACTTTAATTCTCATGATCAACGTACCCCACAGAATTAATTTCCTTACAAAACTCACTCCGACACAGCATTGCTGTTTCTTTAGGACTTACCCTCTTTATTATTATCATACAGGTATTCTTTCTGTCTTACATGCATTATGAGTTATTTATAAGTGCTTCAATCATATATCTTATTAGACGTTTTCTCGCGTAGTATCGCTGAGTATTTGTACGAGTTGTGCCGTATTTTGACGAGCCCCGTCAAAAAACAAATAACGAGTGAAAATACTCAACGATACTACACAACAGAACGTCTAATAAGAGATTGATTATCCAACACACCAGATTGTTGTTTTAGTGCGAGCACGCGGGTATTTCTGGAGTACAAATATCGCGTGATATTTGTACTCGTCTCGTGCGTTATTTGTACTCGACGAAACACAATTAGATAATAAATTAAACTTACTTCATTTTTAATACAATGAAATATATGAACTACATATATTTTGAACTGCGGTATTAGATACATGTGATGCACGATCCTCGCAGTAGAKAGCGCTATTTAAGCAATAGCGAAAATCAGACCTGAAAAAAATCAGGCCTGTACGGGATTCGAACCACTGACCTCTGCGATACTGGCGCAGCGCTCTACCAATTGAGCTAACAAGCCAACTGGGAGCAGGCCGTTAAGTTGATTCGTAATAAACCCGTGAAAGTGATAAATCAAATACAATGAAATATATGAACTTCATATATTTCATTGTATTTTTTTCTTAAATGGTAGAAAGAGCCCCGAGTGTAAGATTTATCAAATCGGTAAAGTATTGAAGTATTTTAGAACTTCGTTCGCGATTTCCATAGAAATCAAAAGCAAAAAATTTACATTGGCACTGGATACCAAAAAGGAAACTGATGATAGAAAAAAAAATAAAAATAAACGAATGAAAAAAGATTCTTGTGTTCGAGTCTTATGACTTACTCGAGGTCATTACTTTGTCATATGACTAAACAGTTATAAGCTAAGCCGGATAGTTTCAGAGCAGCCACAAAGCAGTCATGGAGGCTAATTATTTGGTTGTGCTCACGTTTTTCCTGTCCTTTCAATTAATTTCGCCTTCAAAGGTAAAGTAAAATAACAGAGAAGTTGATATGTGTTTAAATGTAAGCAGACAGATCAAAGGATTTGAGTGGAAAAACTATTTGTTTGGTTTTGCGTTCAGTTAGTGTTTGAACCGGTACAGATTCTTAAAAAGGCAGGTTTTCCGACCTATAGTTTGGGGCTGTCTTTCTACTATCTTCGACGGATAAAAGTGTGATGAAATGCGGACCTGTTAAGAAAAATGGAAAAAAAACATATATAAAAGATAATTTTTTGTTCAAACTATTGACCTGGGAGCGGGAATGAGTTGTCGTCAAGCAGAACAGTCTTGGCTAAGCGCCATGACTCCGTGGGAAGCTGTTGATCAATCAATCAATCCTTTATTTAAACACGTGACACCCAGGAGTGACAGAAGTTCTCGTTTAAACGTGTACGTGTGTGCACAATTAGAAAGTTAACATAATTTCTGTAAGAATACAAATAATAAGTAGATCTATTGAATAACTAAAAACAGGATAATACGAAGTATTTTTGAGTATTTTCAAGCTCTTGTGAACATTTCTTCAGTCATAACTTTAAAAAAAATCAACTGATTCAACATTTCATCGAACTAAAGAACAGATTTCACCGTTCAGTGTTACTCTATAATTGGATTGTGTGGAGTTCAGTCATAAGGTGAAATTCAGTGCCCTAAATTTACACAATCCTCGTGTGATTTTAGTTCTCGGATCAAGAGTGCGTTACTGGGGCCTATCCACCGACTGAAAGGTATGGTTTAACCTGTTGTGATGATGAAGAAAATTTTCCGATTGACTCTGGCAGCAAGTGAGATTTTCCATACACAGTTTTATTTAAAACACAGTGTAGATTGTTAATCTAATTCCAATGTGAAGTTGAGTAATTATCTCTTACCTCAGTTAAACCAAAAGCAGAGAAAGAATTTTTTAGAAAGAAAGAAAGAGAGAAAGCAGAGTCTTTATTTGATTTGATAGAGTTTGCGATTAAGTACAATCTGTGCTTCCATGATAGAGCAGTTTCCAACTGGGTGTCGAAAAACCAAAACTGAGGCAATCCCAGCGACCAAAGTTTACATCATCATTAGCTAATGAGAACTCAAAATGAAAACAGCATACTGCTAGAGGCGCGGGAAAACGCCAATGACCAAATCGTGATTGTTTTGTTTTGCCTTTGATTGGATAAGAGGGTGTCACGAGTTCAAGTTTCTGGACCAATCACAGAACAAACTTAAATAAACCAAAGCAATCTCGAATTACTTTGCACACTCAATTGGAAATTGCTCTAATAGGTTACTAAAGAGTAATTTGCATTTATCCTCAGTGAGATTCCTTGGGAAGTTGTGAATCTTGATTTACCTCCTGAGATAAGATACAATGATCTGGTCGGCAAGAAGATTAAAGAGGTAGGAGATATGGAAAGTGATCGAGCAACATGGACTCTGGGGGGTTAATAAGTGCGATAACAGCAACGTCCGTGAGTTTCCGTCAAGGAGGTGGAGAAATGGAGAAAAAATGAGAGGCGATAATTTGAAAACGATTGCTATATATTTTCTGTTAAGGTACCAGAACTTTCGCTGGCTCGTTTCATTAACCAGCCCTTGGTGTCGCCCTCAACGCTAACATGAAATCACAGTTAAATAGGAGCAAAAAGTCAGTCTATAACCAGCCCTTGGTGTCGCCCTCAACGCTAACATGAAATCACAGTTAAATAGGAGCAAAAAGTCAGTCTATAACCAGCCCTTGGTGTCGCCCTCAACGCTAACATGAAATCACAGTTAAATAGGAGCAAAAAGTCAGTCTATAAAAGTGACTGTGGAGTCTGTGAAATTTATGTGATAAAATGAATTATAGACGTATTTCAATTGGTTCTTACTAACAATCTATTGGGGGACAGACGCAAAGATGGCGTACGTCACCATCAATGTCGTTATGCTTTATTATCATATAAAACATATTGGTCCCATGTTGCCGCGGGTCTTTTGATCCGTGAATTGTATTTTTACAGATGCATAGATGACGTACGTCACCACCGATATCAGACCAATATCATTATGCCTTATTATCATCTAAAACATTTTGTTCTCATGTTGCCGCGCGTCCTTCAATCATTTATTTGTAAAAATGCACCTTTTTGATCAAAAATGGAGTGATAGCTATTTTCATTATCGCGAGTTTTGATGGTTTCTTTTCTCTATTTTTGTTTTTAACTATTTATATTTTATTTGGTTTTGTTTGTTTTTATTTCGCTGTCTTATTATTATCTAACCATACTTACCAAGCTTCAGAACGTGAATAACTACCTGAAAAACTTCACAAGCTTTATCCTAAATGGAAAACTGTATGATTTCTTCGACAAAGATTTGGTATGTATATTTGCACTTACCTTGAAACAATGATATAAGTCGTCTTACTTAGGTATGTAATTAAAGCAAACATCAATCGACATTTATGGAGTTGTTGCTAACTTGACCCATAGGGTTCGATTCAAAAGAAATTGATGTTTTCTACAAATTTCCCATTTGTATAAGAAGTTCTATTGATCTACCGAGCAACGGAAGTGGTGTGAAATGTCTTCTCTTTTAAGAAACATCTGGGGATTCGTGAGTAGGAGCTGACGATTAATTAGTGCATTAATTTTATTTGACAGGCTTACTTGGTATTCACTCTTCCATCTCCTTACAAAGAGGAAATCATTGGGTTGTCCATGGCTGCTGGCATTCCTCTTGGTAAGAGCCGATTATAACCTCTTTCGTATCGATTCATCAAATAGGTCTGTTTGGGAGCTTAGACACGAGAATTGCGCTGGACTACAGATTTATTGGTCCGGGTTCGAGCCTCTTGGAATATATTTCAACCTGTTTCACATTGATTCAATTAATTTTTGCTATGAATGGGAGAATTGGGTTGGATTACAAATCAATTAGTCTGGATTTGAGTACAACTGCCAAAATATTTTTGTGGAATTCTTTTCACTTTAAGGAGGGTTTGGTGACGACTAAATCGAAGTTGACTAAAACATATGAGGAGAGTTTCGCGATTTCTAAGAAATTTTTGGTGACAACTAAGGAGGGTTTGGCAACAACTATGAAGCGTTTGGCAACAGTTAAGTGAGTGCGGGAAGGTCTTTATCGGGCAACTGGCAGAACTGACTATGCAGGAAAAAAATTTCTCCTTTTCTATTTTAGTCAGGCTGAATAAAAATATAATGGGGAAAAATTTGGTCTTTCGAACTGAGTCGAGATGAAAAGTTGCATATCTACAGTTGCGGCAGTAAAGGCAAAGTGGATGTCAAGCTGAAAAATAATTTTCATCGTCAAAAACCGATAAAAAATAAGAGCTTACGTGATTTGTTCTCATAAAGGAGAACAATCAAATTAATGGATGTCAACATACTCCTTAAACAACAATTTTGTGAAGAGACGAGCACAATAATTTGTCCAACAAAATTCCTCAAACAAGAGTTTTGTGAAAAGACGAGCACGGTGATTTGTACCTTTTTTAAAGATCGGTGCTGTCAAAAATGGGTCTTTAAGCGCTAATGCGATTTTGGCGCAGGAAATAATTCTTTTTTCAATATTTCGGAACACCAAGGTTTCGATTATTTGTAAACTAAAAATGATTCATAAGCAAAGTTTGAAAGAAATCGACTTTTTGAACAGAAATTGCCGCGCTTCTAAAGAGACTGCGCCTAAATGTGCAGGAATCATATTCTATTGGGAGGTGTAAGAGCGCATCAAAACTACCCAGCTCTGAATTTTCCCTAGCAAATAACCTATTACAGCTGTTGTTCTAGAAACTAAAGAGTAGTTTTAGCTCGACATATCAACAGTGCTGCAAGCTTCTGAGCTTACGGTATATTTCAGGGATCTCAAAACACCTAAAACCGAGTAAATTGAATGGTGCGTTTCAGTCCCTCCCTTTATATTTTTCTACGAAGTTTACTATTCAAAACATAGAGGAAGAATTGCAAATTTTCTTATTTGATAAAAAACAGATACAAAAATTTGAAAGCAAAGGAAGCCCAGGTATTACAAAACTGCTCTTGATCAACCTCCCTGAGGGGCTCCAAATGACCGTAAGCCTTAATTTCCCACACAAAATAAAATGAATAAAATAAATTAATTTAATAATTGAATCAACATATCTATTTCGTGATTAAAACCCTTACCAAGTTTATGTGCAAACTTTGAGCCAAATCCGACCGGGTCCGACCTGATCCGATATTTAAGGACTATGGCTCCTAAAGTAGTCCTCATAAAAGTTTTCTAAGGATTTTTTAGTACCTTTTTTTCGTACAAACTCAATTTGGTTGAGTGTAGGAAGTCATAGTCATACATACGAACATTAAGTAATCCACTAATTTTCTTCAATTATGCAGGCCAGATGTTATTCTTCAACATCTTTTATGAGATTATGGCATTTTGCACATCTATTGTTGCTGAGGACAAATCAGGTAAGGAAATAGTAGGTGTGAAATTGCCTCTAGGGCAAACTGCCTTAAAGAAAGGTCTGGAGCTCAACGTAAAACTCTCAGTGAACAACAGTCTGGTTCAGATCGATTTATAGGCAGATATGTCTCTAAAAGGAGCGTTGTTCTATAGATACTTATTTCTCTTGTGAGAGTATCGTGATGTGCGGTATAACGTTTAGTTTATTTAATAAATTTTTAGAAATATCCTTGTTATGGGAGACGTAGCAGCCAAACGCTTAGCACATAGTACACGGGGTTACCTAAATTAGACCAACATCCCATCAATACAAACCGGGAAAGGATCAAATCTGGTAGCTTTTGCGAATCAGTCTTCTGAGACTGGCCCACCTGTCTATCCACGGGCCCGCCTGTCTATCTACGGGCCCGCCTTTCTATCCACGGGCCCGCATAGCTATCCACCGGCCTGCCTAACTGTAAAATGTACATTTTGATATAATAAATTCTTGTTGTTCCTTGCAGACTTTTCTTACACCGTTGTAATTACTCTTCAGGTACTCTTTTCCACGCACGTAATATGGACTTTGGTATTTTTATGGGGTGAGTTTTACCGAAACGTAAACTGCTTTAGAGTTTGCGCAGAATTCGTCATCATTTTTGTCCAATTCAAATGCAACTTAAGTAAGACGTATATTAATTACAGCTGGGATGAGAAGAATAACACGTGGACGATGACTGAGATTCTCAGAACACTTGCAGTTAATATTGACTTTCAGGTAAGTGTGACATCATAGTTTTTGAGAACCCCCCTGAAAGGGCAGCGTTCCTTTTTTATTTTTTACCTTCAGAAACCAAACAGTTTTCATCTCCCTTTTGAAGAGGAATAAGTGAAACTATGTGACTAACCATGTGTTTAGATTTCAAGGAGTACACTCACCTTCTGAAGACTCTTTTGAAATGTGCTAGAAGAATTTATAACGGACGACGCTATTTTGAAACTTGCTAAGTAACCTGGCAACTCACTTATGACGCAACAAAGTTTCACTCCTGTTTCTTGTGTCTCTTGGCGATCTCTTTGAACCACTAAGAGCTACATTGATGGGCATTCTTTACTTTAATCTTTCAGAGAAATGGCCAAACAGTTTACAAATCGGTTACCTATGCTGGATTTGTGGGCGTTTTTACAGGAATAAAACCAGTAAGCGATTTGACTTTCACTAATTCATAATGACGCAACTGGAGGTTTGCTTTGCAGCAAATGGAACGCAATTGGGTGCTCTGACAGTCAAATGTCAAATGTTAATTAAACCTATCGTGTCAGGTTCGTCTAAATCTTGCTCTTCTCTAAAATAAATTTTTTGTAGATTTTGCAATTGCTACAAATGTATATATCTTATTAGACGTTTTGTTGTGTAGTATCGCTAGGTATTTTCACGAGTTGTGCCGTATTTTGACGAGCCCGTAAAGCGAGTCAAATTACACACAACGAGTAAAAATACTCAGCGATACTACAGAACAAAACCTCTAATAAGAGATTTATTAGCTAACACGCCAAATTGTTAAGTCAGTGCGGGCGAATTTCGCGGATATTTCTGGAGTACAAATATCGCGTGATATTTGTACTCGTCTCGCGCGTTATTTGTACTTTACGAAGCACAGTTGGATAATAAGCGTTATTATTTCCAGGCTTTTTGTGGAGCGGATTTCAAGTTAGTCATCTTTTCATCATAATTTCGCTCTCATTGATTTCATAGGGAGTGCTGACATTAACTGTGAATCAAAGATTTAGTATGGATGGTGGTTATGTGGGTAAGAAAATAAAATTTAACTACAACTGAACTCTGAGAGAAAATTAATTCGATAACCACAGTGGCTTAGCAAAAAGGTTATCAAGATAGTCAAACCTCCTTTCTAACATAACCAGAGTAAAGCGCACGCTCTGATTGGTCAATTCAGCATCCACCATCTGCCCATGGGTGTACCCTGCCGACATAAGCAAATGCAGACTAATTTTCCGCGCGCGCCTGTTTTTTTCTGGTCAAGTAAGATTTGTTAAAAAAAGAAAATTTTTTTTGCCGTAATGTATTAATGTTATAAAACAAATGGTAAACGCCACAGTCTACACTATTGAGTTATGGATGCACTTCGGAGGTTTGCTAAGCACTCAAGAAACTAGAGTCGCTCTCGTCTATCGCCTCGCGCAACTCTTACGCTTCTTTCGTGCTTAGCAACCTCCCGCGTGCATCCATAACTCAATAATGTAGGCTGTGTCGTTTACCTATTGTTAATTATACCTGCCACTTTTGTTGCCAAACCACCCTTACTCAGACCAACCTCTACACGACATTGACTGCCTCCATAGAGCTTCTTAAACTATTAAAATAACCCCTCCTCAAGGACTTTGTTTCGATGTAACGTAGAAGTCGTTCAAGCCATGGGAAAAGTGATTTGATTAGCGTCATAAAACCAGTACTGTTCTATTACGCAGAAAGCTGCTGCCATTGAAACACCACAGAGTCACCCTTGTACCCCTCCCCCAGAACAGCCAACTTTTTCATAATACGAACACGTTATAATTTTCAGGTATTGTTGAGTGGATTCTCGGTAATAGAAAGGCGAAGTGGTCAACATTTCTTCCTCGAGACGTTCTGGAAACTGCAACCAGGTATTAAATTCACAGTATTGTAATTTTCTTTTTTCGCCAAGGTGAGCGAAGCAGAGATCCTGCTGTTTGATTTCAAAAGTTTACGCAGATTTTCTTTATGGTGTTTTTCAGTTTCGAACAGGCTAAGGACATGCTGGCAAATAACGAATTGATAGCCCAAGTGTACTACATTCTGGGTGGAGCAAAATCAGGAGAGGTAGCTTTCGTTATTCTTAATGTTTTTAGTCATATCAAACTTATCCAAAGCTGAACATTTGCCTCAATGATGGTCCAAGCCTACATATTACTCACCTGACATGCGCAGTGTAATTTAATATGCAAAGAGCGCCAATTTTCAAAAAGGCGGTCAACGGAGCGAAGCGGGAGTGTAGATTCCGAAGAGATTTATGGACGAATTCGCAGAAGCTAAGACCAAGAAATGCACGAAAATCTACAGAGGTATATGTTAAACGTAAGTTTGATATGGAATATCAGATATTGTAAAACACCCATTAATTTTGGAGCGATTTTATTGGTTACTTTACGTCACGTGGTGCAAAATCACAGGACAGTTATCACGCAATAACCCCCATCCGTGTCGATATTTGTCCTCCGATTTTTTTCCGTGAAAAAGAAACATAGTCAACACAAGAGTTTCAACTTTTCCGTTCTCTTATTTACATGGAAGGAAACCAAACTCGTTATTTTCGCTTGCTTGCTTGCGTCAATCACGCGCATTCGCCCTCAGATCACCACTGGCTTTTTTACTGTGTTTACGAGCAGTTTAATTGCGATGTGAAAATGAATGGGATGGTTATAAAATCAATAAACCCCGTTATGGCTTGCTGGTATGTCGGCTGATAATGTCCTTGGCTAAGAGATTGTCCTCAATATTTCGAAGCTTCGCTTCTCGGCCAAATATTCATTTTTCGGACAATCTCTCAGCCGACATACCAACCGCCCGAAGGGGTTTATTTACTAAACATTAGTCTCCTTTTAGCCCAAGTACGACTATATATTTTAAGTATTATTCCCAGGAGAATAGTTCTAACTAAGTAAGTCAAACAACGAATATATGAAATACATATATCTGAACTGCGGTTATGAAACGTAGATGTGTACGATCCTCGCAGTAAATAGTGCTTAAATAGTGCTTTACTACGAGGATCGTGCACATATATATAAGTTAGTCAAATTATTTCAGCCATCGTTTCCGTAGTAGAATTCTTGAATCTGATTGGCTCTTGATATGTAATTGGCCCATGATAGTGTAGGGGTCTAACTATAGGCCTTGAGATTGACGAGTAGCAAAAAAAACCGCTGAAATTTGCCGCGTCCCAACAGAAGGCTTAAATTCGAAGCTCAGTTGGTACTAGAGATCAACCGATATCTGATTATTCCTCTGCTGTTTCCTTAAAAATGAAAGTGTTCTTTAACAATTCTGCAATCCACAATTATTTTTCATTATCGCTATAGGCTAGAGAAAGTGATGGATTAATTTCTCTTGTTGTAGGCTAGAAAGAGGAGTTGCAGAAAGTTTTGGCCATACATGAGGCTACTCTGTGATAAAGTCTATTTTTGAGTAACAGACTCGGTACAAATGTTCTTTTTCAGGGAGTGGTCATCACACGTTCTCGGACTGAGTGCTTAGACCAGATGAGGTACTGCATGGTTCCTTGCTAAAGTTCTATTTAAGTTTGTCACAATGAACTAGACGTTTGTGAACTCTCTCTACTCTTAGTATTGCAGTGCATTATCATCATGTAAGTTAGTGATTTTTATCTGTGTATGCTTTCAGCCTTGATCCAGAAAATAACAAGTGGTTTGTTCTGGAGACAAATTATGACAACTGGGAACCTCCTCTGGTAATTGATGACAGGAGAACTCCGGTAATTTTATTTAGTTGAGGCAAGAATGCTAGTAATCCAAGCTGTCTTTCCTTTGAACCCCCCCTCTCCCGCCCCGCCCTTGTCATCGGAGGAGGAAATGGGACCGAAAATCAAGGATTGGGATAGACAGAGACTACTACTTTGG